TTCGTGTGTTTTATATGGTTTCTTATTTATGAATAGAGCTACAATGGCGGTTTTCACATCACTGTGCTGTTTTTTTTATGAAACTAAAGATGCTACACATAGACTAGTCCTAGCACTCTTAGTTCTTGAAATACATGGCGAAATTGAAAATGTTACATTTTTCTACCCCGTTCGTTTTGATTATTATCTCATAACCTAGTGAAAAAGTGAAAACTGAGTCACGTAGAGTTTTTCACTAGAACCGTAGGGATGAGCTGTCATTTTCAAAATATGACTCAAACTCAAACTTATGTTTTTTTAATGGGACACCCTGTATATATTTTTTTATTTTGATTGTTATGAGCTTTCTAAAAATATAAAATACTCTATACTTATTTTGATAAATAAGGTAACAAAATAAATTATTTAATTTTTTAGCATAAATCAACATAGTTTAAAATTATTTAGTATTGTTAATTTATTTTATTTAATTTAGCCAGATAATTTTGCTTTCCATCTTGTTATCTTCATAAACTGCACTGAAAATGAACTTGTGCAACTTTTAGATACCTCACTGTCATTCAGAGTTATATCGATATTTTTAATGCACTTGTGCAATAATCAATCACACAGAAATTAGAGCCAATAACCAAAATTTGATGTCCAATAAACTATTGTTAGTGGTCGGACAGCACAAATTCAACACAAACGCAAATCAAAGGAAATAAAAATTGTCCGACTACTGGTCAACGTTAAATCTAATATATTTGAGAGATTGTAGCTCCTTTTCGACATCATATTGGAGAGTTCAGACTGATTTTTATGAGATTTTGGTTATTTTCAAGCAGGCTTCATGTATACTCTGTTTTTTTTCTCAGGTAAGATTTCGACAGACGATGACAAAAGAAAAGCAGATGACGTCCCATACCAATCTATTTATTTTACTAAAAAAAGTTTCTAATTATTTTTAAGTTATCTATGGATGGGTTTAAATATAAATCCGTCATGCGTCGTGTCTTGTTGTTTTTAACCAGTTTTATTGGTTTATTTAAAAAATGACAGATCGTATTTCAATTTTATTGGTTTGACGGAACGATGAACGATAAACGGACGCCGATGCGTATGAACCAGTGCCTTCTATTAAAAGATCAGCCTACGGGCGAGATTTATGACGTCACGCTAGTTAGATATAACGGATTAATAAATATGTTGTAGAATACATGGAAAACATAATTATTCCTCAGATTTTTGGTTTGTATTTTAAAAATGATATAGTTTAAATGAAATATACATAATATACAGTTAATAACTACAACATATATACCTATTTATAGTAATAAATACTTTGGCAAATAAACTATGAACCATACAAATGCAGCAAATGTTTTACAATGTACAAATAATGTATAGGTACATAAGATAATGGGTAAAATGTAAATATATTTTAAATTTTGGGGTTTGAAAATCGATCTAATTTAACAAAAACATTTAATATCTACTAATAGTGATGTATTATTATTTGCATTCACAAAATTTATATGTATATTTTGCAAGTATCAATGTTCGAAAAATTATATTTACAAATAATACAATATTATCTAAAAAGGCGTCAGCGATGGCTATGAAATGAAGATCGCTGGCATTTTATATGTTAAATTATTCTAAAATTTTTGATTTTCTTGGGATTTTAGGTTCGGGAAAAACGCTGATTAAGTTTTCATTTGGGTTTTCATTATTTTTATTTGGTTTAAAAAAAACGTTTCGGCTAACTATAGCCTTCACAGTGTTGTGTCATATGAGAAAAATAGTGTCGAATATAATCCAAAAAATTACATATACAATATAATTCACACCTCATAATGTTTACTGCAATTAATAAACTAATATAAACTTATCAAAAGATGACCACATATTTTTAAAATTATTATTCTTAACACTAAAATTATCTACATTGACTATGGAGTACGCAGTAAACATTATGTGCGTGGTGTGAATATTTTATATGCAATTTTTGGATTATATTCGACACTATTTTTTTCATATGACACAACACTGATGGAGGCTATAATGTTAGCCGAACCGTTTTAAACCAAATAAAAATAATGAAAACCAAATGAAAAATCAATCAGCGTTTTTCCTGAACCTAAATTCCAAGAAAATCAAAAAATTTAGAATATTTAGAATCAAGGTTCAAGAATATCAAATTTTCCAAGATTGTAAAATTCTAGTTAATTATTTTATGTGTACAGTTATTTAGGGAATGTCATCGATGTTCATTTCCAAGCCAACTAGACGCCGATTTTTTCGATGATACGGTATAATTCTTACGTAAAATGTAAATAACATTAGACCAATTAAAACAAAGAAATATGAATTTCTTAGTATTTTTAGTAATACCTTTATTCTTAAAACTTAATTTTGTATTATGCAAATATACCAATTTTATTGTTATTTTATTCATATTGTATTCAGCCATCACTTAAATATTTGATATTAATTTGGTATTATAAATAATCAATACTATTCATTAAAAATTACTGAACAAATATATGTTATGCTTAACATACATTATATATTATCAAACAAAACACATTCTTCTTTTTAAACTGTATCAGTCTTGTCTTTACAAAAATCTTTTTAAAATTTGAACTCAAAATAATAATCTTTTTCATGATCTCTAATACACATATTCTTTATTTTTCCCTAGTTCATAATACCTACTTACGTGTTTGAATCTATCGAAGCTGAACCAGCAACACTTGGAGTGGAGATTCCACAATATGAATAAAATAAACATAATTGTCCAGTTTTCATTAATACCATCATGGGAGAATATTATTTTTAAATTTATTAAAGATATTTTCAATAAAATTCTCTTGATTTATAACTCGTACCCACTTTTCTTGCTCTTCCGGACACTTTAGGCTGCCTAGTATAATAACTATCCTTTCCACCAGGAACACAACAAAGATGAGGCATAGCACCAATAACACACTCCACTTAAGCTTTATTGATGAATTGTTAGAGTCTTAAAAAACACACACAAAAATCACGATAAGTAAAAAATGTATGGGCACTTTTAGGTTAAGTCACTTGCACAACGTGTAATTTTTAAAATTTCTATTTTTTTATGCGAAACCGAGAGTGACCATATATCTGGTAGTAGTTTATGTCACTTCAACACCAAAATAATTAGTTTTTTGCACTACAATAATAAATAATACCAAAAATCAAAAAGTTAAAACCAAAAATCAACCGACAAAATATGAAACGGAATCTAACCCAATATCTAAGTATGTACAGCTGATGAAGTAAACAAAAGTCCGCCCGCAGGCTGATCTTTTAATAGAAGGCACTGTATGAACTCGCCTTTAGATTTTTGTCATTTTTGACGCTTGTCAAAGTCTTGCCAAATTATAGGTTATAATTTTGTGTCAACTTTTGTTAAATACCCTGCGTTTTGGAAGATGATGCATTTTGATTCGTATTATTACGTGTGTTTTGTGTCTTTTGAAGTCAAGTGGAGGAAAAATCGAGTGAAAATTAACTGTAGACCCAGAGCACAGTTTATGGTTACTGTTATGATACTCGCTGTATGATACTCGCTGCCCAGGCAGAAAGTCTTATACACCAATGAAGTTGCCATCGATAAAATTTGTATACAATTTCGTCGTAGATAAGTGCATCTCGTATAAGGTAGAAGGATCAAACTAAACACATACTAAAAACTGGAGTAGCTGTAAAATATCGACATCACACGATAGGCAAATAATGGATTTTAGTACTGCAGAAAAATAATGTCAAAAGGTACTGGTTTAAAAAATTAAGATTAAAGTTAATTAATCAACCTTTAAGGTATAAAATTTGGTAGGAGTTATTATTAATAAAATAGTTTGTTTTATTTACCTATGTTGTTTTATTTATTCCGGTGGAATATTACAAATTTGTATTTGTACATAAGTTATATTGATAAATATAATCATAAATGCGGGTAGTTTCATAAAGCTTAAAAGTAAATAATAGTTCTTTTTTATATTTTTTTGGTATGTAGTGTTTTGTTCTTGTTTGTTTTGTATTAACACATACCGTTTTTATTAAATAAAATAACTCGATTACCTTTTTTCAGATTTATACAGTTTTTTTCACAATATTTTGAAGTAATCACTTGTCATCTTGTCAATCAAATTTTAAATATTTCCTGCTATGCGTTCCAGTTGTACCAACTTATTTCTTTGTAAAATAAAATAAACTACTTTGAAATTAAAATGACAGACACATCTATCACTGTCAAGGATCTTCTCGTTGGACAGACTATAAGTAAAAGGGAGTTTTTGTCAATACAATAAAAATGCATTAGAAAAAAGAAAAAACAGTCCAAACTGTCCGAGAATACAGGATCAACAGTACAGGACCGTATTACAGACAAATAAGCGATGTTTGCAAACAAATGGAACCAGAACTTGTTTTAACAAGAGAAATTGAAAAAAATGTTACCTGTGTCGAAAACTTAACCGTTTGCTGATTTCCAATAAAAAAAACAGTTGTGACTTAATACAGTTAAAAAAAACTGTTATATGAAGCTCAGTAATCACACTATCTATTTCAGAAAATTTCGTTTCCATGCCATCAATAAAGAAAATTTAATCAACAATTTAAACTCAACTTTTTCTAAATTTTCCGACCATTGGCTAATTCACCCTACCATGTAAAACACACGAAGATGGAACACCTTGTACTTCCACAAAAATAAAATTGCAAACAGGCAAATGATGCGAATGGGGTAAAAGGAGTTAAATACTTATTCCAGTGGCGTAGCTACACCCCCCCTTACACCTTCCTCCCGTAGCGGGGGACCTCTAATATAGGGGGCCCCCCGTCCAGAGCTTCAGCAGGCTGGTTAAAAATTGAAATATGGTACCCGGGTCCCAATTCCCGAACGGTGCGGGGGTGTCCAAAATTTCTAGTTACGCCACTGACTTTTTCATATAATTGAATACTGAATTTTTTAACTTTTTACTTACTTGATCGGGGCTGCCTCCGCCACTTGTTCTTTTGAGACGACGTTTTGAACTGTTCTTTAAACCATCATCAATCCAACCGGATAACTCTTTAACCGGCTTCACTAACACTTTCGCAACTTGCCACTACGACATTTAGGGCTGTTATTTCGGTTATTTATATTATTAGTCGACAACTAAAAATACCGCCCACTAAAAATAGATTTTTGTCGTTAGTTAGGAATAATACGAATTGGAGAAATGTACAGATGTCTCGTGAACGACAATAATCCCCATTACCTTTACTTATATTGCACTCAGTTCTAAATATATTTAGGATATTGGCCAGGTTTGCTAAATTACCATACCAGCTTACAAGTATGACGGTTATGGGTAAAAATAAAAAAAAAGTGTTTTCAATTTTTATCAATTAATTCTGCGATAAAAAATGATAAGAGCGTAAAATGATATAAAATTCTTTGTAGATGCGTTATTGGAGAGCAAATAATAAACAGTCGATAAACATAAAATAACTAAATGACAAATCGTATTTATTATTAACTGCCAGCGGGGTTTTAATTTAAATTTAGAATAATATACGTATTATATCGCGACATATTTTTTTTTCATTGTTATAAATTTAAAATGTGTTTGGTGATCCAACTTTTCTACTTGACCGGTTACAGGTTATATGTAGGACAATGAAAACAATCGAGGTTAATATAAATTATCAGTCTCTAAATAGGTACACATAAAATAATTACTTGCCGATAAACATTTTTGCGCGAATTAACTGTTTCACAACCTTTTCTTGGGCACGATTCGAAAAACTACCGATTATTTTGGTTTTAGATTTTCACGAAAGCTGACAGAATGTTGCCGCACTTTTCTCTGGAAAGCGTTTTCTATCTGGAGTTCTGGAAAGGGAAAGGCTAGCCAGGAATTGCCAGGAATCTAGTTCGTATAATTTTGAGACGGTATGGCAACGTCGTGCTGAAAAACTACTGGTGCTGACCCCTAACGTAGGTCATTGAATTAAATTTCGGTGCCTGAAAGACTGAAAAGTCTGAACATCAGCTGCTGAAACTGGAACAAAATTGATTGTGCATTCTGCCGTGTTCATGATTCAAGAAATTTTAATGTTTTTATTATCGATCTAAACAGTAACTTAAGTTTCATAACTAAAAATGATTTAAGGAATAAGAGTTACTTTAGTCAAAATATTTGCTTTTCCAATGTGTTATCTAAAAGAACAATTAATTATTACCTTCATGGTTATACAAAACTTATGCATTATAATGTTATACGAATCATATATTTTATTTATATATTTTATTAAATTTCAATTTTAAGTGTATCATTTTTCTATTTTTAAACTGGGCGGGTCAAATAGTTTCAAGTTAGTAAACAAGTTATTTTAATAGTTAATTTAGATGTTAATAAAACTTGTGTTTTGGAAGTTTAACAAAGATTTATAAATATATCCATAACACATTTATATCGAGTTTTAACATCAGGCAACCAAAAATACACAAAATTAATTAACTAATATTTAAAAAATAGGCTGGATTGTATTATTATTCCTGCTTATTTTTTTATTTGAATGTTATGCATATATTTTTTAATATACTTTGATGTTTTTGCGTATGAAAATTTATTCTATGTTTTTCAAGGTTTTTTCCAAAATTAGTGACCATTGTTTTGACAAATGTCAAATGTCAGAGAAAAAATTTCCATCCTAACCCTAACCTAGCTTCTAGCCATGTCAACAAAAACATTCAAAAATAAATAAAATATAAATAAAATGTAGCACTGTGATGTAGCATATTGTAGCATATTTAATCACAAATTGTAACAAGAGTAATGGTTAGCATAAATAAATCGTTTATTTATGGGGTTGGATTTGCCTCTCTAACGTGGATAATATCTCTGTACCTATATACTCAGCTCTCTATAAATTCTAATGGATACTCTAAAGACTTTACTTCTAATTCCGAGATACTCAGAAACGATGTGGTAGACAAAGTATCAAAGTTTAAAAGAAAATATGTAGATAAAAGTTATTATAAAAAGAATCAAGGGCACCCGTTTAATAATAAAGCATTGGTCGAAAGATTAAAGCCAGTGGAGAAATACAAACAAGAAGCAAACAATAATGTAGAAAAAGGTTCTTAATACATCAAAGCTTTTGAATTTCTTGCTTATTATAATCGTCTTTTCAGATCTTTTTGAATTAGGGTTAGTACAAAATGTTGAAGAACAAAAAATTAAAGATGAAGGATATAAAGTTCATGCTTATAATATTTTGATAAGCAATAAGCTAGATTTGCATAGATACATTCCAGATACAAGAAACTCATTGTAAGTAAAACAAATAGTTAAATGCATTATTTTTCACTCTAAGTCTTATTTTTAGATGTAAAAATATTTCTTATGAAACTAATTTACCATCTGCTAGCATTATAATTTGTTTCTTTAATGAACACAACACTACACTTTTAAGAACAGTTCATTCAATATTAGACCGCACACCTGATAACCTACTGAATGAAATTATATTGGTAGACGATTATAGTGACTTAAAAAATTTACACGAAGACATAGAAAGCTATATAAAGTCTCATAAACTAAATAAAGTGAAATTATTTAAAACCGAAAGGAGAGAGGGACTCATAAGGGCTAGAATTTTTGGAAGCCAAAAAGCTAAAGGAGAAGTAAGCTTTTAATACTTAATTTTTAAAGAAAATTTAATTTTAAAATATTTTGAGGTGTTAGTATTCTTGGATAGCCATGTAGAAGTTAACAGAGGCTGGATGGAACCACTACTAACTAGAATCAAGGACAAAAAATCAAATGTTGTAATGCCAGTCATTGATATAATAAATCCTGACACTTTTGCTTACAGTAGCAGTCCATTAGTACGAGGGGGTTTTAATTGGGGATTACATTTTAAATGGGAGAACCTTCCTAAAGGTATAGATAATAATTGGATTTCTTTATCTTATAAATTCATGTTTAAATTTTATTTAGGTACGCTTTCTAAACCAGAAGATTTTGTTAAATCTATAAAATCACCAACAATGGCAGGTGGTTTATTTGCAATAAATCGAAAGTATTTTATTGATATTGGGGAATATGATGCTGGAATGAATATTTGGGGTGGAGAAAACTTGGAGATTTCATTTAGGGTAACATTTCATATCAGTTATATCAGAAATTAATTTGTTTTTGTTTCATTAATTCTTTTTAGATTTGGATGTGTGGTGGTTCATTGGAATTAATTCCTTGCAGTCGTGTAGGACATGTATTCAGACACAGAAGACCATATGGGTCACCTGACGGAGAAGACACAATGTTGCACAATTCATTAAGGGTTGCCAATGTCTGGATGGATGACTATAAGGTAACAAGAATATTTTCCACCACTACCATATTTTTTCTTAATTTATTTATTTCTACAGGAATATTTTTATAATCAGAATAAGCATGCTAAAGATGTTAACTTTGGAGATGTCACTTCCAGAATTCAGTTAAGGAAAGAATTAAAATGTCAAGATTTTGACTGGTATTTGAAAAATATTTATCCTGAATTGATACTTCCATCGGATGATGAAGAAAGATTAAAGAAAAAATGGTCAGCGTTAGAACATGACAAATATCAACCATGGCATTCTCGAAAAAGAAATTATATCGATGAATTTCAAATCAGGTTGGTATTTATTGTTTACCATAATTTTTATTATACAGGGTGAGTTTCCTACAATGTTCTCTATGGATATCTCGAAAATTATTGGAGATACAGAGTTCGTTAAATGGGGAAAGAATTGCTGTTTTGTGTGGTCATAAGTATGCACCTTTCAGATTTTTGAAAAAGTTCATGGCTTACTAGATATTTCGAAAAAAAAAACAAGTTTTGGGTATTTTAAAAATTGTCTCTAATTCCATTATAATCTATTTTAGACAAAAAGTTTTCAGATAAAAGTTATAGATACTCATATCCCTAATGGGCTTGTGTCCTCCGATTTTTTCTAAAGCCTGTCATTTTTGACATATGACAAAAACATATGTTTTTTTAAACGGAAACTATAGATAGTTGGCCATGACTTCATAAAAAGCGTCATTTTTTAAGCTTTTCGGCTTAAACCAAACTTCTCCTGTACCGCCTCTTCGAGTGCCTCTCTTAATTCATAAGTTCTTTTGTAAACCTTGTTGTTAACCATTCCGCATAAAAAATCTAAAATGGATAGGTCAGGTAATCGAGGAGGCCCATGCAATTGGTCCACCTTTTTTATCCCTGAGTCTACATAATTACGATATAAATAATTTTTAACATTTCTTTCAATGTGGGGGGGGATGTCATAATGAAAGTCATGCTGGAACCACTCTATTAATGCGCGAGTAACTAAATTTAACTTTTCTAACATGTCTTGAAAATCGTTCTCTAAAAAACGTAAGTAACGTTCACCGGTCAACGTATCCTCGAAACTGTATGGCCAAGAAAAGTTGAACCAATAATCCTACACACTTAAAAATTCATATTTACTATTTTTGTTTATTTGAATTTACAAAGTTTGGATGTGACAGTTTCACATTTCTGAGAGCAACGACGATTGAACTTGTTTCCCTGGCTAATTAAGTGAAATTAGTCAAGAAAGGTAAGAATTTGCTATAGCTCAGTAATTTTGTGAAAAAAACGTATTATAGCTTATATCGCTAAAAAGCTTAAAAAATGGCCCATTTTATGAAGTCATGGCCAACTATGGTTTCCGGTTAAAAAACATATGTTTGTGTCATATGTCAAAAATGACAGGCTTTAGAAAAAATCAGAATACATAAACTCATTACGAATGTGATTATCTACAACTTTTATCTGAAAACTTTTTGTCTAAAATAGATTATAATGGAATTAGGGACAATTTTTAATATAGCCAAAATTTTTTTTTTCGAAATATCTAGTAAGCCATGAACTTTTTCTGAAAATCTGAAAGGCGCATATTTATGACCCCACAAAACTGCAATTCTTTCCCCATTTAACCGACTCTCTATCTCCAGTAGTTTCCGAGATACCGATAGAGAACATCGTAGGAAACTCACCCTGTAAGTTGAATAAAGAAACAACTGTGGACTATTTCAATATTTTTTTTGTTAATTATTCCTAGGTTGAAAAATAGCTCTCTATGTATTCAAAGTGCCAAAGATGTAAAGACAAAGTCTAGTCTTTTAGTTCTGAGACCTTGCATAAAAAGCAAAAATCAAATTTGGTATGAAACTGATAAAAACGAGCTTGTTTTGGCACAATTATTATGTTTGCAAGCTGCAACTCCCAATCCCATTCTATACAAATGTCATGAATTAGGCGCAGACCAAGAATGGAAACATAAAGAAGGGGTAAGGACATTTTAGGTTTCAGCTAGGCTTATATTTTATATTTTATATGGGGTGATTCATAGCCATGGCACGTTAGACGTTTATGGATAACTTTATGGAGAACCGGTGATAAGATTTTTGCATAAGGCACCTGCTTTATCTGTCTAAATTATTTTCAGCATTACAGTGTTGCCGCTTCATACAAAAAGTGGTAGAATTTTTGTTATTTTAAATGGAACACCCGGTATATTATTATATTTTTCTAAACTACTTCTATACCTCAAAATTTTTCTATCATACTAACCTATACCAATCTCTGATTATTTTCAAGATAAAAAATAAAACATTTGTAAAATTGACAAAAAAGCATTATATTGAATAAGCATTGGTTACATCATAAATTTGGTAGAGAATGTAGAATGTAGAATGAGTAAGGGGGGGGTTAATCACTGCGACCTTAAAGATCTATTGTGCCCCCCTTGAGTCATCACACAGTCTATAACCCATCATACCCCTGTTGTAGAGGGGACAGGGTATTTCCTATCCTCCTCTGACAGTTCTTGCTCCGAGGGTACATACCCTTCCACGGCTGGAGTTTGGCCCTCCGTGCCGCCCTTCACAGTCGAGGAGCTTGCCTCCGGCTGAGGAACCCGTGAGGTGGAGGCTGGAGGATCTGTCTCCATTTTCTCCACCTCTTTAACTTGGTCTCTCCTTAGACCTGATACCAGTGTTGTCCCGTATCTCTAATAGAGGATATGTCCCTCTTTCTCTATTGCCCCCTTGGATTTGAGGTCAATTCCTATTGTAAGGACCTGACCATGACCCTCCTCCCTCGAGAAAATGACTCGCCAACTCGATGTCCTTACAGTGAAGTTCTGACCCTGGATAATGACCAGCAGGTAGGTGGTGTCTTTCCCCTTGCTGTTCGGCAGTAAGACCGTGATGGCCGCCCCTTTAGAGATGTTTTCTCCCTTCACTGCAACCAGTTCCGGCCCTTGCCGATTTTTAAGCTTAGGTGCGATTTCTACCAACCAACTCTTCGATTCTTGAGATACACAACTATAATTATCATGCCCACCCGAAAGTGTATCCCCGCAAAACGCAGCTGATCTACATTTTGTAGATCGTTGTGTTGCGATCCGATCGCCACTACTTTGTCCAGTATAGCCTCTTAGATACGTTTGCTGGTCGGTGGTCAGAGCAACCTCTGGGAAATCCTTTGGGAGCATCGCCATGTTCACTTGTCCAACAATAGCGGCAAGGTTGGTGATACGTCCCTGCTTGCCTCCCGGTGTTGGATGGCTTTCCATCTTGGCTTTTTTTTTCTCCCTGCCGAAGAAGAGGTGAGAGGTTCTCGCACTCTCTTTTGCCCTTGTCAGGTTGTTTCTTAGTTTCATGCTTTTATGCTTATTCACGATCATGTTTTTGTCAATTTTACAGATGTTTTATTTTTAATCTTAAAAAACTATTAGAGATAAACTTAGTATAATAAAAAAATTATGAGATATGAAAGTAGTTTTCAAAAATGTAATAATATACTGGATGTTCCATTTAAAATAAGAAAGATGCTACCACTTTTCAAATGCGATGTGGCAACAATGTAACGCCAGCTATCGATAAAAGTCTCAGGTGCCATCGTCGTGAATTACCCTAGATTCACAGCCCAAATTCTCTGTAATTTTTTGAATGTCATCTGTCGAAATTTTTCTTGGCTCATTGAATAGGCTACTATAAGACAATTTAAAGATACAAGGGCTGGCAAAGGTTAGTCTTGGGTCGAGATTTCCGTATGTAAGAAGAGTACAATGCGTTTATACTGTACTGAACAAAGAGGGAACAGTAAACACGTTGCCAAACGTATGAAATAAACCGAGAAACTGTGCACATTGCTAAGAGACGTGGAAGGGGATATAGCAGACTTGTCGCAGTCGACCGGTTGACCCAATCTCCCTCTGTCAGTACTTAAAGTTCTAGGGAAAGGTGTACATCATGCGTTCAGCTTCACGATTTAATTACGTGTGATACTTTATTTGATTGTTTGTAGTTAGTCTCGTGATACCTTATTTGTTTATTTATTAATGAGTCGTAATTTTCCCTATAGCTTGAAAATTTTTAAGTGTAAGTTAGAAACACTTGCATTTTTGGTAAAAATAAGTGGAATTGAGTTGGTGTTCGACAGTGGTCGCGCTATTAGAACTTTGAATTCAAAAATCGATACCTCGAAATCTATTAGAAATAATTGATTGTAGGTTTTCAAAAACTTTCTTCGCAGACAGTATGCAAAAATCTTTATAAATAAAAAAGTTACACGATTGCTGAAAACTGCTATGCACTAAAAGTAAATGGATGGGTTGTTTAAATTTTAGAATGTAAAAAACAACCTCATCGAATTTTTCGTATTGAAAATGATCCGATCTTCAAAATAAAAAAGCTTCAATATCTAAAGTGGTTCTTCAGTTATGGCGTGTTATGTGTAAAAAAGTTAAGTTTTTAAATTATCGCGACTACTGACGTTTTCTCATCATAAAAAATGGACACCCTAACGATATCCTTATAATTCCATTTCAGATGCTCAGAAACACATCTAATGATTTTATCTAGTAACCTTTTCGAAAAAAAGTCTTAAAAATAAGCGGTTTGCGATCGTGATTTTATTTTACTTGATGCCGGAAAGGCATACCGGCAACAACGCAACAGCACACCGTCTCATTTCTCTCACTCCGACTTAATAAGATCTCTATGCCATTTACTTCCACACATGTCAATACCGACCCAAAAATAACAGTTGCCAGCACGGTATAATTCTTTAAACTGTGACTATGTAAACTGTATCTGGGAAGAAATCAGACAAGATATTGACAAAGAAGATCCCAACAATGATAGAAAATACAATTTACCTGTGGATTGAAATGACAAACAACAACTGTCACTGACGTCATTGTCTTGTATTATTACGTTGAATGCGTTGAATAAACTTTTAGACATTTCTTTAATATTCTAATTTAGGATACAGTGACGCGAACATTGGTGAGAAGGTTCAACATTCTTTGAAGAATAATTCAACATTCTTTGTGGTTGTATTTTATGTTTTACCTGTGATACTTTTAAATACATATAAAATGATCTGCATTTCTGTATTATAGTTACTATTAATTTGTATATTTAATTTTTTAGACAAATTCACCGATTTATAATCTAGGAGCGGGTACTTGTTTAGGGGTGAGTAAGAGAAAGGTCAATGCAACTCTCGAAATGAAACTTTGCACTGACCCAAACTTAAGTACTTGGGATTTTATTAATGTATAGTTTTTCGAATCTTTTGCTGATCTGTTTTGGCTGTATATCTGAACAATATTTAGCGAATATTTTTTACTCTGCTAAATGATATTTGAAGCAATTTATTGATATTAATTATCGATCTAACATATTTTATACTAATTTTTATTTTGAATCTCTCTTTTTTACTATTTAATTTATATTGTATATCTAAAGAATAACTATTTTTACATTGGGCAAATGAAGTGGATATTATATATAATTTATTGATATTGGTTATTCATCAAATATTTTAATTTGTCTCTTTTAAGGTGTTTTGTATTTTTTATTCTGGCAGAAATAAAAGTTTTTATGTTTATATTTAAGTCTTTATTTCATATAATATCTATAGAATTTTAGTATATGGTATATGAAATAAATACCAAAATGATCATACATCTAATTTAGTAGAGTATTTTTCTTTATGTTATATATATGTTGTATTTTCATCATTAAAGATAGTATTGCTACCTCAGTGATTTGATAAATACTAGATCAGTAGTTGCCATGGAGGTTGCCACTATCTACATATATAAAATGCTAATGTTTATCTGTGCCGTCTCTACTGAAGTAACGACTTGCTCTAGAAAGTTGCTTTTTTTACTAAAAGATAGCTAATTGGCTCTTTTAAAAACTGTCGTCGCCGGATTTTTTGTTTTTCATTTCATTAAAAAAATAAAATAATTTTTTTTTCCTGATATCGTGGCGGATGCGCCAGGCTTCAACTAGTATGATATAACATCTGTTTTGGTTTCTCTATGATGATGTATCTAGTAAAATATCGTATATATGATAATTTACTGGATTATTATTAGTGCGATAAAGGTTATTAGTTTAACCACAGACAAACTACTCTAAATTAGTTTGTGGTTTAGCTATAGATGAGAGAAAACGCTTGTTAAATTAGGCGTTAAGTTAGAATTTTTAAATTATAAATATTTACCTTGCGTCATTTTTATGGTGTAACTTCGAACTTCGTTATAAAACTTATAACTATAAAGGCTTCTAACAACAAATAGGAATGTTTTTGTCAGTAAGGTGCTAAATGAATCAACAGGTGTCGCGTTTAAATTAGAATTATATTCCGAGAATTTTAGCGCATTCGTCATTTTATCGAAAGTCATGTTGGGAACTAATTTTTTTAGATAGATGAGATTGAATAACACTGTTAAATCTATCATTTACCTTTGTTCGTGCTTGTTTGTGTTAGAGAAAAGAAACTCGTTTGCAATATAGTATTCTCATAATACCTATTTACTTTTAAATATCTATTTACTTTTAGATATATTTATCTGGGCTCTTTACACTTACTTTAGAAAATTGAGGTGTTGTAAAAATATCTTTCAAAAACCTTATTTTTCAAAAATCTCAATGACTTTGAGTATTTTTAATACTAATAAGTTGATGATTTTTTTTGGACCTAGTACCTATTTTGGACATTTACATTATGAGTTGTAATATGGGAATGATTCTAATTTTATGTAAATGCTATATTTAAAGAAAACAATATCATTTAATAAAAATATAATTTAAAAATAAAACTAATTATTGAGGACGTTTAAACTGATTTAATACTGGATGACTAGTAAACAAAATACATTCTGAATGATTTAGGTGATAATTGGATGTTGTTGAATTGATGTATGTAATGACGTAACGATTTACTAATCAAGAGCAATAATGCTGGCCATTAAATTTTTTAATTCCTTCTGATATTGTATTTTGTTGCCCGAAGCAGTACTTGCCGATGGTGGTCTTCCATTGTATCTAAAAATATAATGTATTATTTTTATATTTTTTATCACTACTTACTCTTTTATTACAAAATCGGCCTTTTTCCTTTTAGCGCAGTTTCGAATCTTGGATGCATATACATCCAACATCCTGAGTTTTTATGTTCTTCTTGTCCCCATGCGATTTTGGCGTTTTTGTATTTGTTACATTCTTTTACTACAAGATCGTATGGAAATGGACACATCTAAAATAGAGATGCAATGTGTGTTCATAATATTTTGGTTGAAAGAAAAAACTAATGCAATAAATAATATTGATTAATAAAAAATATTATTAAGTAAATAATGCCAGAAACAAAAAATAAATTTGAGTTATTTGATTTGTCAAAATATTTCAAGCTTCATTCAGGACCTCTTATTTAGTGGAATAAATTAAGGCAGAAATCTGTTTAGTTCAGTCATTGGGGATTTTTGCTTGGAAAAAAGTCCGGAAGTTTGGCAACTTTGCAGGTTTATAGGTTTTGGGGTCCCTAACTAAAATCCATAAAATGCACATTTCCAGACTTGCCGCCGGCGCCCAAAATCGGTATTTTGTGAATATCTCGAAAACTATACGTTTTTCGCAAAAATTTGAGGAGAGCAAAATTAAAGAGAATAAAATTTCCTATAAAAAAGGTTTCATGAAAATTTTCGCTAAAGTCAACCGTTTAGGCACAAAATCCCTGGAAATTTTACAATTTTGCGTAAAATATGTTATTATGTATAGTCGATTTTCCGAAATCAAATGTCGATTAGGGTTCACTAAAACTAGTTTTAGTTTAATTTCTTCAATGTTGTCATGAAACAGTGGCGTATCATTAATTCGCTCATTAATTTATGAATAATTAATTTTAATTATTGAAAATATGTACTTGTTTCCACACCACCCAAGAGGTAAAGTATATGGCGCGTTTATTTTAACGTGGTCTCCCCGGAGGCCTACTCCACTAGATAAATTAAAAACTTTAACTTATCTGCACAAGCATGACGGATCTGGCTCATTGATGTCAAGATCGATTGTGTCTGCTGTGTTGAGCTCATCAGGGTGGTCTCTCAATACGTCCAACTCTTCATCTTCAGCCGCCAGAGGGATATCTACAGGCAAGTCAACTCTTCTTCATCGGATTCGTCGAGTGACACTTCAGTGACGTTGTCACAGGATTTTCCATTGCAGTATGCACAAATCATTGAACATTTTAATCCTGCTTTTCTGCATCCGCAGGCTTTACCATAGTTGTTGGTTTTGCATTTACAGGATAAAAATGCCAACAGGGATTTTGGAGCTGGATCTTTCAACGTTCTGACTGGAGTAATGCCTGTTTTTGTTTTCTTCCAACCCCATTCTTCGGCATCTTTGGTACAACCAGACCAATGCTGAACCTGGTGGTAAGTTCGCAATGAATGCTGTCCAGCACAATAAATTATTCATAATTTAATGAGCTAATTAATGATACGCCACTGTTTCATGACAAAATTGAAGAAACTAAACTACAACTAGTTTTAGTGAACCCTAATCGACATTTGATTTCGGAAAATCGACTATACATAATATATCATATTTTATGCAAAATTGTAAAATTTCCAGGGATTTTCTGCCTAAAAGGTTGACATTAGCGAAAATTTTTATAAAACCTTTTTTATAGAAAATTTTATTCTCTTTAATTTTGCTCTCCTCAAATTTTCGTGAAAAACGCATAGTTTTCGAGATATTCACAAAATACCAATTTTGAACGCCATCTTGGCAAGATGGCAGCGCCAGCGGCAAGTCCGGGAATGTGCATTTTATGGATTTTAGTTAGGGACCCCAAAACCTATAAACCTGCAAAGTTTCAAAACTTCCGGACTTTTTTCCAAGCAGGCCCCTTTTTTGATCCCCAATGACTGTGAACTAGTTCCTCTAATTGCAATGTAAGCATTCAGAGCGTCAAAATTAGTGGTAGTAATTATGAATTAGAAGAAAAAAGTATTTTTTGACTATGCGAAATGCCGAAAAACTAATGTAATTATCCATAAATTCATAATGTAAACAGCCTCATTCGGATCTTCGAAATTAGTGGTATAAATTAGTGGTTTCGGTTATATTGTTTATATATTTATATCTAGATCTTACTTGTTCGACACGAGCGATGGCAATTTTGTCGTCCAATTTCTGGTCTTTAATTAGTTTCATGAAATCGTAGTATATTTTGCCGGTACAAAATATTAATTTTTTCACGTTATCTGGATTTTCTGATGCCCGTTCTTTGCAAGGAATCAATCTCTGAAACTCGGTACCTAAAATAATATATACAGGATGCTACAAATTCGAGGTACGAGCATTGGTATCTCGGAAACCGTAGAATGCCATTTTCTATCGAATAAAGTATAAATATACCGCGGGTGCCATTTAAAAATCAAATGTTGTAGTCGTTTCCGGTGAAACAGGAAGTGACCAAAAACAATTGACTATGTCAATCAGTCCTAGTTTATGTCATATACACTACATACCAAATCTCGATTTTTTATCTAAAAAAATAAAAAAGTTATAGGGGTGAGCCACTTTTGTGACGCACCCGGTAGACCTTTTTTCAAAAAAGCAGGTAAAAACTTTTGAGATTGTTGGCCCGTTAGCTTCTAAAATCTTTATCCACTTCAGAGATTGACTTAAACAAGTCATATATTTGTAGCCAAAATTAATTTCCAAGCAGAGGGCTTACTGTTTTTGGTGAAAGAACATCAGAAATATCTGGGCTATTATCAACCGTTTAGCTTTTTAATGACTGTTTAGTGTCCAAAAAGCTTTTCACAAGAATCAAAGCAGCCCCATCCTGTTTTCACAAAAAAAGGAAAAGAGTAGAGCGGGAAAAAGCAATATTTCCAATGTTACCGATCTTGCGGTAAAATTACCGGTAATATTACCACGACAGTATTACCCTTTACATCACTAAATTTACATACAGGGTGGCTCCTCACATACGCCGCGGAGGTTCCAAGGAGAACGACAGTTCGTATTGGAATTAAATTTTGTGAGCATATGTAGGATAATTCAGAACACTTTTTAAAAATATAGAGAGTTCTACAGGGTGTCCCCAAAAAAAGTTACATATCAAAGTTTTGTTTTTTTGTAATTGAACACCCTATATATTAATTTATTTTTGGATTCTGGGAGAAAAATAAAGGTGAGTTTTATAAGTTACCTTACATTACTAAAATGTAAGGTTTTTGACATATTTAACATTTTCTAGAAACAAAGAACAATTTTTAAATTACAATAAACGCTACCTAAATTGGAATCTACCCGGTATAGCCTAATATGTAGTTAAATTAACTATTGTACTTTAAATCAAATTAAAACTTGATCCAAAAACTTATACAGGGTGAGACAAAATTAATGTTGAACATTGGTCACCTTTAAAAGCATGTTATTCTCTTATTTTAAATACAGCCAGTATATTATTTCCGATATTCAATGGAGAATTCATCTCTCTTCAAAATACTAAGGTTGCCTTCCCTCAAACAAAGATTTTCCTAGATATTTTCATTTACATGATTTGATCTGAGTAGATCTTTATTATTTGATAAAATCTAGGTGGTTGTGATATGTCTGACGTTACTTCAACATAGCTGTCTAATTAGTCCAACTTTAACAACTAGTTATCATTTTGTGTGAGTTAAAAAAAAATCTCAGAAATTTGCCGAAAATGCAAACTTATTCTACATCAGAGAGAATTGATATGATTCTATTAGTTGGTGAATGCAGTGTGCATTCATCAATTAAGAGAATACTTAAATGCTCTTGATTTTATCTAGTCTGTTTTTTTATGGGGATGTGTGAAAGACAGTGTTTACAAAACTCGATCAACTAGTGTTGATAACATGACAGAAATTATTGTAGCTGCTTTTTCGAGGTAGAACTCCCTTTTAAAATGAAAATATCCTTTTAGCTCTTGCTAATTTTTGTCCCATAATTATAGGTTTATATTAACTCTGTAATAATTAAAATATGTTTTAAACGTGTTTCTTTTTATTACCCTTGAGTATTTTACTCTACAATCTTTAATTTTTGTTAAATTAACAAAAGGTATATCACACAGCCACCTAGATTTTTTCATATAATAAAGATTTACTGACGCAAAATCATAAAAGTTAAAATATCTGGCAAAATCTTTGTCTGAGGGGTAGGTAACCTTAATAATATTTTGAAGATATATAAATTTCCCATTGACCACCGGAAAAAGATACTGGTTGTTCCATTTAAAATAAAGGAGTAACTTGCTTTTAAAAATGATTAATGTTCCATAATAATTTTGTCTCACCCTGTATAACTTTTCGGGTCAAATTTCAATTTGGTTTAACATACAAAGGTTACTGTAATTAAATATCAGGCTATACAAGGTCAACTAAAATTTATGTAGTCGTTATCGAAATTTAAAATTTACTCTTCATTTTCACAAAATGTGAAATGTCAAAATCCTTAGATTTTAGGTATGCTTCTTTATAGAACTCACCTTTATTTTTTTCCTAGAATCCGAAAATCAATTCATATATAGAGTGTTCCATTAGAAAAAACACGACTTTGATGTGTAATTTTTTTTGGGGACACCAAGGAGGAGAGGTGCCACCTTGTATATTGTGTTATACTTACCTTCCTTCATTTCGCTAAAATTACTTCTAGCCTCGGGGTGACGTAGCAAGCTCTTGGGAGTCATCAGCATTAGGGGTTTTCTATATATACGAGTATTTCATTTTTATTATATAAAATTCAAAAATAAAAAAAAAAATAGATATACCGAAAGGGCAATTTAATTTGTCTTCTGAGTAGATGAAAATAATTTGCTGGCGTCGTACAATTAGCCACAATCCAATTAATGTCAAAAAGCTGTTTCATTGCTAGATTCGTAAAATCTGGAGGAAGATAATCGGGGTCGTCCGCACATAATTCAAGATACCTTTCTACTCGTGCACTGGAATGTTCCGGACCCTGTCCTAAAATACATACAGTCTAAAAGTATAACAAATAACCAATGTATTTTTTGGGATAATAGTTTTCTTTCGGCAATATATATTTATATATTTTTCGAAGGTTTTGATTCTTGGTATTAACCAACCTAAACCTTTTAACCCTCAGTCTAAACGTTTGTTTGATGTGTGTTGTAAATAACATAACTATACAGTTTTATTCCACTTTTGACGTCCAAGTTTATAACAATATTATGTTCTGATAAAGATCGAATAAAGATCGAAATGTCGACATTGATCAAATGCTTTTGACTTAAAAATATTTATGTAAGGACCATAAACCCAAGAATTAAAATCTTCGAAAAATATAACCAATGTACCATGGGTGTCTGAAAAGTGGCTCACCCCTATAACTTTTTATTTTTTTCAGAGAAAAAAACGATATTTGATATGTTAGTATATGCCTTGGTATATGACATAAATTAGATTGACGTATTCAATTGTTTTTGGTCACTTCCTATTTCACCGGAAATTACTACAGATTTTGATTTTTAAATGTCACCCTCGGTATTTTTACTTTATTAATGGAAAATGACTTATTATTAAGAGAAAATGACACTCTGAATAGAATGACATATCATATACCAACTTTTGACATTTTCGCTTAAAAAATCATGTTTTAAATTTTAATCTAGAGTGCCATGGCTGTGAAAAACACCAATTTTTAATCAAGGAACTTTGGAAAAAATATACTTGAGATCATCTCGTTTTTCGTGTCTTGTCCTGGCCGGTTAATAGATGCGCAAATCGTATTATTAATCATATCTCATATCTTAATCATATCTGATTTTTTTTCAAATGGAACAAGATTAGCATATTTGGGAAAAGCATTTTACCAATAATTTGATATCACACACTTGGTATTTCTAGTCAAATTGTCGTTATGAACAGCATGTTACAATTTCAAATAAACCATATGCGAAAATGCCAAAAGTTGACATATGATATGTCATTCTATTCAGAGTGTCATTTTCTATCGAATAAAGTAAGAAAATACCGAGGGTGTTATTTAAAAATTAAAAGTTGTAGTCATTTCCGGTGAAACAAGAAGTTACCAAAAACAATTGAATACGCCAATCAGTCCTAATTTATGTCATACTAATTTTTGTATCTAATTATTATCTAGTCACTTTTGACACGCACCCGGTATAGGAAGCATATTTCTAAATATTTATATTGGCGTAGAACATAAAGTTCGCAATATAAAGAACGCTTTCATTATTTGGACTGTCTATGTCATATGGAGATTCAAACCATAGATAAAAGAAAATAACCATCTATTATTGAAACTCTCTTCTTTTCTTACAGCAATTTTAGCTTTAAATCCATACCTTTGCTTTTGGTCCTCCTCAATACAGTACCCTGTATATTATAGTGAAAATACTGCAGCATTTTTCAGTTAATTTTATATTTTACAGGTACCCTATTAAACAATAGTAACAAAACTGTTGTATTAACGAAACATTTTGATCAAAGTAATTTATTTTATATTTCAAATTATTTAAAATAAAAAAAAAACTCTAAACTGGATTACCACACTTTTCCAAGTACGTTAGTTAGATTGCCTTTACTTAAGATGACCGTTAAGTAAAGGCAATCTAACTAACGTACTTGGAAAAGTGTGGTAATCCAGTTTAGAGTATGTTGCGGTGCTTTATACAGGGTGAGTATTAAATAAGTACAAATATTTTTAGGGTAGTACATTTCGACCCCAGAAACACGTGTATGATTTTTTTTTCGCGAAAAGATATTGAAAATTTGGATTTTTTTTAAATTTTAAAAAATTTAAAAACATAATATCTTCATAATATGGCAACATAGGTAGTAGAGTAAATTTACAAGAAAACCCAGGAAAGATACAGTAGTTCTCAAATTTTAACCTAATTTTTAAGATCATTTGTTTCTTAAATTTTCAAAGTCAAATATCTGGGTTATTTTGGAGTTATTTGAAAAACGACAAAGAGAAAATGTGTTTGTTTTATCGAGATCTACCAGCCCTGAAAATATTTGCAATTATTTGAGACCTTCTATATACAGGATGTCCCAATATTCCATGGACATAGAACCACTGCGTATTTTTGGAATCAAAATAAGTTTATTGGGCATAATTTACCTCTATACAAAAATGCTTCATTTGTCCGTTGTAGGCGTGTGTGAGGGCATAAAATTTTAAGAAAATAAACATATTTTTTAATATACACACAACCAAACTTATATGGAATCATCTATTAATTTTCATAAATTTTGAGATGTATGAAAATGTTGTGTTTATGAATAAAACTCAGTCCTTACCAATGACTTTTAATGAAAAATAATCCATATAACAATAAAAGAAAATTAATCAGTTCCAAAAATAAACAAAATGGTATTTTTTGGTTCCTGAAACGAAATTAAGATTTAAATTTTTAATGGCCAAAAAGCATAAACAAAAAGAAAACTGATAATTTTAATATTCCTTGTTGCCACCTCTAGCCCTTATGCGAGTTTCTATCCGCACTGACATGCTTCTTATTAAATTATCCACGTTGTCTTGGGGTATGTTTTCCCATTCTGCTAATGCTGCATCAATAAGCTGTACGAGATTTCCTGGATTGTTTCGACGAGCTCTAACCCTTCTTTTGAGCTAGTTCCATAAGTGTTCGATAGGGTTTAGATCTGGTAAATAGGCAGGCCAGTCCAAAACTATGACACCTTCCGTTCCAAGACATTCTCTAGTCACTCTGCTGGTATGGGGAGGTGCACTATCGTGCATGAAGTTGAAATTATCCCCAATTGCAGCTCTCCAAAGACTAACGATTGGTTCTAGCACCAAATCAACATATCTCCGATCCGTTAAAATTTGTTGAAGCGGTAACAGTGGAGTTTTTGCTCCCATTATAATACCTCCCCAGAACATTACAGTTCCTCCTTTATATATTGGTACAGATTTGGCAGCCTGAAGTCTCGCTCGTCTTCCTGGAGCTCTGAGAACCCGAATTCGATGGTTATCTGATCTGAGGCCAATTCTGGTCTCATCCGAAACAAGAACATTTTGCCAATTCTTAGTTGTCCAGTTTTGATGTTGAAGGCGTCAATTCAGCCGGTCAATTATATTTTGCCGAGATAACTGTGAGATCCGTAACTCTCTCCTACTGTAAAACCCTCGTGCACGAAGCCTTTTTCTTATGGTTTCAACTAAAACGTTCACACTTGTAGCTGCCAGAAGTTGTCTTTATAGCTCTGGATGAGAAACATTGGAATTTATTCTAGCAATTTAGCACACAAGGCGGTCTTGTTGTTCAGCTGTGACTCTTTGACGACTTTGTCTGGGCCTATCCTTGTGTAGTCGTAATTCCAAGTATTTGCCATTTGTTTTCGATACAACACCCTGGGTAACGCCTACTATCTCTGCTACGTCTTTCTGGAGCATTCCTTGTTCGGTGGGAGGAATCTTTCTTCCCCTCTGTACATCTGTTAATCCAACATAAGGCATTTTTTAATTTTTTTGCATTGAATGAAAATTACCGGACCAATCGTGATTTTACTACTGAACACAAAATTCAAAAGAAAATAAATCGCAGCAGTCATTTATTCTTTATTATCATGTTTATTTCCAACAATAAGCCTTATCTTAAAGTTGTATACCAATTTTTATCCTTGTAAGAAATTTAGTCAGAAATAAAAAGTGATTCCATATAAGTTTGGTTGTGTGTATTTTAAGAACCGATAAATTACGATTTGAATGAGATTTTGAGTGTCTATATTTTGCTAAGTGCTCTAATATTTGACTTCTACAAAAATAAAGAAAAAGTACGAGAAGGGTGACAACTACCCCCACTCCTACATAAATTTTAGTATAAATATTTTTCAACTTCACCGACGGTCATTTTTTTTTGTAAAATGGCCCTTCTAGTAGTTACTACATTTTTTGTCACTTATACGCCATCGCATTGCTTAATTTTTGATGAAAAAAATATATTTTTTCCGAATCTAACTTCCAACGTAACTTCTAACTTCCCTATGTAGTAGATATCTACTGTATGTAGTCTACTTGTGTCTACTTCTTCATAATAATGTTACCCGACAAAACTTTGGTATCAGTTTTAAAAGTTTTAAACCTCAAAACGAGACAATGGATTTGTAATTTCAGTTTTTCAATGATTCTTAGCACAAAAATTAATTAAAGCATGTGGATGATCTCTTAACAATCTTTGATACATGTTCCTAACAAGAAAACTGACTGAATGTAAGTTTTCAGTAGCTTTATCTGAATGTCTAATTTTTTACCTAAATATGGTGTGAATCATTTTTACACCACTTGACCCTACAAAATGCCATCAAAGAAGTAACATTTAGTAACTTCTCTAACTTTACCTTCAAGCCCATGTGGTAATAAACAAACCATCCCGCATTGCCTGATCCATTTGCTTTGTCCACTGCAAATCATAGTGTCGAACATCGTTTGCCCGTTATTTGCAAAGTCTCCAAATTGCGCTTCCCATATTATTAACGAGTGCGGATTTACCATTGAGTATCCGTGTTCGAATCCTAGCACTCCATATTCGGAAATTGGACTGTTGGATACTGTATAAGATGCCTGATCTGGATACAGATCTCTAAGATACCTAAATAATTCATGGTAATATAGAGGGTAGGCTTTAAATGAATATGTGTACAAAATTGTTTTTGATGAATATGTCTACAGGCTGGTACGAACTGCGTTCCGGAAACTTCGGTAGCATATTGTACAGATAAAAATAAGTAAAAAAGTTCGTATAAATGTATACCCTAAAATCCTTGGTTTCCGAAATACGGAATGTAGAAATTTCATTTTTATTTCGATTTTTTCCAGATAATTTCTGAAGTAACGTCAATATTTGGATGAAAATTGGTGTCTGGAAGTTTTTTGACATGAGAAATTTGATTTTGATATTAATATGACGCCTACTTGTAGAGGGCGCCATCTACTAAATTATAATCTATAATTTATTAATATTATTTTGATTTTAATTTTATTAATTGTGATTAATAAAATTGCGTTTATCTCATCAAGGAGGCCGAATGCCACAAAATATCAAGAGATAACTTTTAATTTGCATTAAACGGCCTACACAATTTTGATATCAAAAAAAATAGGTCAGTGGCGCACGTGTTTTTTTTTGAAAAATATTCCAGTGATAACCCATACGCACGCCCCTGATGAATTTACCGCCACTTTTTTAGCATTAAAATATGTAGCACTAATAGTAACTTTTACCCTCAAAATTTCATTTGAATTCCTAAAAGTACTTGGAAGAAAATTATAATAAATCGAAAAACTGTTAAAATTTGAACACCCTGTAGCTACGAAACAAAGCGGAATCGGACCTATATTGATATGAAAAATAAATCTTATTCTTACGTGAGGAGTATCCCCACGAGAGATGGCACATGTTTTTTGAAACACCCTGTATAACTAGTATTATATTAATTCTTACGTGTATCTTGTTTTATCTTTGGTTTGATGATGTAACACGTGATGTCTGTGAGAAAATGTTCCTCTTTCTACGTCTTCACCGGACAATCTCACATGAACACCCTCTTTTAGTAAACTACCGAATGTAAGTGCTTCTCCTAGTGCCCAATCAATGGTTTCATTTTTAACCATATCCATTCTCAATCTTAATATTCTCTGTAAATCTAATAACAATAAATTTAAATTTTTAGATTTAAAAATCATATTTGTAAGTACTTTTATGAATCAGGAAATCGCCTGGTGGGGGAGTAGAAAATTTAGTTGCGATATGTTTTATTACATCTAGACTCACTCCCGTCGGTTCGCATTTGGTCATATCCTTATTTTTGAAGAAGTGTTTCCAAGGAGAGTCTATCCAATCGCCGAATCTCACTGTTGTTTCTTTGGCAGCTTTGGCAAATTCGAGTTCACAAATTTTGTCATAAGTGTCTCTATAAGCGTTAATTTCGGCATCTGTTACAATTCCTGAAATAATTTCCATATTTAATGTACGAATAAAAACTTTTTTTTCGCCATTTGTTTTTCTACTGTAGCTTGCTAGCTTATTTCAAGAATAAAATTCAACGTTAACGATTAATTACATTCTAATTTCAAGAATGGTTGGCTAATATTAGTCATTACTCTAACTAATATTAGTCATTACTACTAACATTACTCTACGCTGACACGGACCACTTTCCAACGACAAAACAGTGGTTAAGCTGTCGCAGCTACCGACAACGGACGTTACAACCACAACTGCGCGACAAAAATGTCGTCGAGAAGTCGCACGTGTGAGCTGTTGGACGACACCCGAACTACACCTAAATTTTTGATTTATTCAAAAATGAATTTTGAAGAAGTACTGCTGTGGCTTTTGCTTCGAAAATAAGGCGAAACCGCAGGAAAAAAATTTATTGGGTTCATCCAATTATAGAACATAAAAATGAAAGCCAGTTCCAAAAACTTATCCGGTGTTAAGAATGTATGATGAAAAATTTCTGTGAAGGTTCTGTGAAGTTGAAGTTACTATAAAAATGCTTTCCCTAGGAGATGCAAGACCTTGTCGTTGGTGGGGAAGTTCCTGGTCAGGTGCTGGGGGGAATCCCTCCTAGCACTTGGCTTGGTCAAAGAAGCATCTCACTCATCGTCTTGTCCCTGACTGTAGTGTCGTGGCCAGGGAATTGCACCAAGATATATAACGATACCGGGCGGGGCTACGGACAGCCTCAACCTTGGGGCATCGGGGGGCACCCCATTGTATTTTACCCCTTACTTCTACATGCGGGGCTCTGTAGAAGTGGACCGACTGTCCCTAGCGACTCATGGGAGCACTATGAGATCTGGTAATAATAATAATAAAAACATCACCGGTGAAGCTGTGGGGAAACCCCCTAGCTACACTGGGAACAGTAACAATGAAAGTTCCAAGGGGCCAAACCCAAAGAGAACTAGAGGAGAGGTGGCTGACACTTGCGTGAGACCATCCTCCGCAAGTGGCATACAAGCTACCACCTTCTCCAAGGGTCGGGAGCCTACCTCCTACCTCTAAACCCAACAGGCGACACAAGCTACCGTTTCGTCTACCCGGCCTGGGTCGTAGCTCCTCGACTGTGAAGGACACGGGTCTCCGTAGGAAGTTCTGGGACTGTATGATGAGTTATAACTCAAGAAAGGGGGACACAATAGATCTCTAAGGTCGCAGAGATTAACCCCCCTCCCACTTATTCTAAATTCTAATTCTATAAAAATCAATAGTTATGTTAGACTACTGAATCGCATAATCACACATTTATCTATCACAAAAAATATATTACATTACCTACATTTAACTTGCAAAATTATAATTTAAAAAAAAAATTAAATTAAAATTAAATTTATTAAATTTAATTTTAGGATTCGTGTGCTCATCATATCTAATAAATCAAGATAGGATGCAAATATTTTGCAAAACCCGCAATATATACGAGTATATAATTCTAGAAAAACGAGATACAAATAGGCCAGTAAGCGAGGATAAAAATAGGGTATTACCTCCGAATTCTTGACACCCCCAATGTATAACAAACAAAACTTACATAGTTGCAATGTGTGCTTTCACCTTGGGGGTGAGTGTCACCCTTTCTGGGGGGTGAAAAATAAATCACCCATTTTAATTGCAAAAGTCAATAAAGGGATGAATTCTAAGCAAAAAATGTTTTATATTTTTTTCAGAAAATTAATATTTGCCTAGTTATTTAGGATTGAAAATGTTAATTTTTTATCTCAAAACTGCATATTTTTCTGCCATTTTTTATAAATAACTCGAAAACCTTGCATTTTATCGCTCATTAAAACAAAAAATGAAGCTTTTGGAAAAACGAATGATTACTGTAGGTGTAATAGTAGCCCAATTATCATTCTGTAAAGGTGATTTTTTATTTTTCGAAAACTAAATTGCAATCTTTTACCGTAAACTAATGGCGAAAGAACACATTTTTCGAAGAAAATGAATATGACCGTTTTTAAAGTGATTGAAAAGACCTTTTAAATGCTTTTTTAAAAGGTCTTTTGAAGTTCGTAGCTCCAAAACTCTTATGATAAAGTTATGATAAAAACAAAATGGTCACCGCATTTTTTCGGAAAAGAATAACAACAAAATCTATGACTAAAATCATAAAAATAAAAACTATCAATTTGTAGGAAATTACACGAGCTACAAATTAACCTCTATAGTTGAACAGTCTTGAACTTTTAATATATACGAGATTTTTGGGTTTTAATTGCTCAAAGAAGGTGGTCCTTACACGCAAGTCAACTAAAAAAACGTAATATCTACGAAATAAAGAGAACTAAAGAAAAATTGAAAGAGAGCAAAACTATTGCAAAAGCTGCTATTCACTGTTAAAATTTCACGTGAGTTGGTGCAGGCGTTTAGAATTCGGACCCTAAAACCCTCGCTTACTAGCCTAAAAACAATGATTCTACTTAATGAAAATAAAATAACGCTTCAAACATTTGCTAAAATAGTTTTTGCATATTATTTCGAAACACCATTTTTGTAATAAGACGGGTTTTGCAATTTGACGCCTCATATACCGTATGATCGATAAAAAAACAGCGTCCAGTTGGCTTAGAAATGAACATCGATGATATTCCCCATATAATTTTACATATAAAATGACAGCGATCTTCATTTCATAGCCATGGCTGATTGCCGTTTTTTTTTCGATCATAATATGGTACTTTAGGTCATTCACCTACACCAATGTATGATTTTGCTTGGAGATTTATAGCCATTGTAGCTTAGACTATAAAACTGACACGAATATGGAAAGACTGCAATATCCCAGCGCAACAAATTAAAATTAGTAAACACATTGATCTTTCCTATCGCTACTTACCTGTATCCTGAAAACTACAAACAGACGAAAAATAGATGCTTTCGAAATGTGGGTCTACAGAAAAATGCTGCGAGTTTCATACAAGTTAGCATAAAACGTTAAAAAAAAAGACTTTCAATCAAAGTAAACCAGTCATACCTTAGGTACTTCGGGCACATTTCGAGAAGAACAGATGGACTGGAAAAAATCATAATCGAAGGGAAGATTAATAGCAAACAGTGGCGGCTCGTGGGTAAAAAATTAGATGAAGAGTTAATTTTTTTGGCGCATTCACCATTTTGTCAACATTTTTTAAAATATTATTTGAAAAATTTTTGCTGCATTCACCATTATGTCAACATTTTTTTTGTTATTATTTATACACTAATACCTATAATATTTTCGTTTTAGTTTGGGCTAAAACGCATTAAGTAAAAAGAGATATAACCAGTTTTCGATAAACACATTATTTTGCATTCCAGAGAAAATATAATTAAATTTAAATAAATATAATAAACATTATATACAGTGTCCACCATAAAGTTGGATCCATATGGACGTTTTTTTTATATTAGAGTTTTAAAAAAAAATTTTGTGGCAATCACTTCTGCTTTGAAAACAACTTAAAATGCACCAAGCTAAAGTTGACAGCTGTTAACATCTGGGAGCTGCCAAATACAAAATATTTAAAAGAAAATTTTAAAAATTGGTTAAATTATTATTATTTTAAAAAAAGTGACTAACAAAATTATGTTTCAATTTTGACTTGGTGGAATTTAAGTTATTTTTAAAGCTGAATTGATAGCCACAATTTTTTTTAACTCTAATACCAAAAAACCGTCCATATGGATCCAACTTTATGGCGAACACTGTACCTAATTATTGAATGGCTTCCCCGAAAAACGTTGTAACCGACATTTTTTTCAATATAGAGATTTCAGTGAAATAAGGTTGTAATTTTCATAGGTATAGCGGTTTTTCCTCGTTTTTTTCACTGAAATTTCGATATTGAAAAAATTGTTGGTTACAACCGAGGAGCCAAAAATAAATTCTGCGCCGCCGTCACGCATTTCCAGAACAAAAGGAAGACGAAGAGAACTGCCCAAAACCAAAAAAGTATAGACATTTTTTACAAAGAAATTATTGGTCACGGCCTGCAAGAGGTTTCTATAGCCGCTCAAGATAGAGAGGGATGGAGAACAACGATCCGAGCAATTGAGACATGATGTTACCATACTCTTTCGAGAATTAACGGACGAGAAGAAGAAGAAGAAGGTAGCTTACCAATAGACTTAAAAGAGTGCTTACTAGAAATACATTTCTCGTTTGCTGATCTTACCTTGTTGCTTTGCAGCTTCACAATATTTTTCCCAAACATTTTTCATTCCTTTAATTTTCGTGTACAGTACGGGCTGGGTAAACATCGGCTCGTCCGCCTCATTGTGTCCATGCTTTCGATAGCACACAATATCAATCACGACGTCCGTTTTGAATTTCTGTCTCCACATTGCTGCTATCTTGCTGACGTATATTGCGCTTTCCGGATCATCACTGTTTACGTGAAATACAGGGGCGTTCACGACTTTGGCTATATCTACAGTACCATTTCAATTGGCAACATGGAAGCAACACAATATTTTAGAAGGGAAATTAAAGCATTTTTTACAAAAACGCATATAGTTATAACTTATAACACAAGAATAATAATCTATAATGAATAATAAAATCATTGTTGTGCAATAGTATCCGATGTTCTACTAAGAATAGCTCTCGGCTGTATCTCAGAAAGTATTAGTCGTAGAGTAGAGTTTTCTATTGTAGAAACGGCCGTTAGAGGCCGCAATTTTTATGGCAAACAAAGTCATAGCAATTGCGCCCTCTAGAGGCCGTTTTACCAAACTTCAAAATAATTTCGAGTAATTTCTCATGGCCTCTTTAGTTATTAATACTTTTTTTCGCAGGCATTACGACTACTACTTTCCGAGATACAGCCGATAGCTATTTATATTGGAACACCCTGTACAGCAGAACAATAATTAATCTGTCCAAGTGTGTTTTGTTAAAAATACTTCAGTTTTATATATCTTTGTTTTTTTTTCTATTACCTGTACAATAAGGGGCTGATCGGGAGAATCTAGGATCGGTAGTGAATCCTATTTGATTGTTAACTACAATGTGTATGGTTCCGCCTGTTTTGTAATTAGTAAGGTTTGAAAGATTAATTGTTTCGTAGCATATTCCCTCTCCACAAAAGGCAGCATCGCCATGCATCAAAATTGGAATAACCTATTTTTTATATACAAGAAATTACTATACAGGGTGGTCCGAATTATGTTTGGGAAACATCCCAAAATGCTATCTTTCAGATATATAGGGTGTAGAATTTTCATTCTTATTCGTTTTTTTTCAAATAATTTCTGAACCGATGTCAATATTTTGATGAAAATTGGTATCTGGGTGTTTTTTTTTAGAAATTCGATTCAGATGTTAGGATGACTGCTACTTGTAGGCTGCGCTACCTACATGTTTTTAACTGTTTTGTTTTATACTAATGTGAGAAAAATATACATTTTCGCCATTTTTTGCGCCACTGGCTTTTTTCTTTTGATATCAAAATTGTGTAAGCCCTTTAATGGAAATTAAAAGTTATCTCTTGATATTTTGTCGAATTTGGCCTCCTTGATGAGATAAACGCCATTTTATTAATCGCAATTAATAAAATTAAAATATAAATAAAATTAATAAATTATAGGTATATTTTACCTAATTTATTATTAAATATTATTACTATTAGTCCAGCCTACAGCAATTTAAAATAAAAAAAATAATCGTATTTAAGATAATTACGAAAACTTTAACGTTTAAGGTTTTAAGATCCTGTAACTCTAAAACTATGCATTTTCATAACCATGAAATTTTTTCATATTTTTTTGATGAGGAATCAATGTCTACTTATTTAAAACTCTCGCAAGTTAATGATATTAATTTTTTTAAATGTTATTAGACTTGGATCAAGGCAAATTCATAAAATTGCGTTTATCTCATCAGGGAGGCCGAAATCGACAAAATAACAACTTTTAATTGGCATTAAACTGTTTACATTATTTTGCTAACAAGAGAAAAAAGTCAGTGGCGTACATGATTTTTTTCGAAAAATATTTCAGTTATAACCCATATGCACGTCCCTGGTGAATATGTCGACACTTTTGTAGCTTTAAAATATGTCGCATTTATAGTACTTTTATCCTCAAAATTTCATTCGAAACGCTAAAAGTACTTGGAAGAAAATTATAATAAATCGAAAAAATATTAAGACTTTAACACCCTGTAGCTACGAGACAAAGCAGAATCGGACCTATGTTGATATGAAAAATAAATCTTATTTTTACGTGACTTTTATCTCCCCCACGAGAGATGGCACATGTTTTTTGAAACACCCTGTATAGAGGTAAATTATTGTGTCTAATTAACTTATTTTGATTGCAAAAATACGTAGCAGTTCTATGTCCAAGGAATATTGGGACACCTTGTAGGTACCTTTTTTTGTTCGTCGTCATTAAGGTAAAATTGTTCAGCCCGAACTCTTCCCTGACAAACGGAATGGCCTTCCTCCAAATGCGATGGATTTGCTACCAATACTATTTTCACCATTTTGTTTGTTACATTATTTTTCCTGAAACAAGATTATACAGAGTAATTCAAATTCGACACCCTCTAATAGTATGGTAATCGCAAAATCAACTTTGAGTGACAAGCGATGGCGACAGCGCTGCCAGATTGTGATGGATTTATGAGATGAATCTTAATTTAAAAACTGACAAACAACATATTTATTTATTATATAATTTTTTAAAGAGTTTTACGTTTTATTTTTAATTTAATAACTAATATTTTAGTGATAATATGATATTTAGTACTTGGAAGCAAATTATAATAAATTGAAAAAATATTAACACTCATTAACATTACCATATTAACACCCTGTAGCTATGAAACAAAGCAGAATCCGACCTATGTTGATATGAAAAATAAATCTTGTTTTTACGTGAAGAATCTCCCCAGGCGAGATGGCACATGGTTTTTGAAACACCCTGTATATCTAACGAAATTTATTTTTACCGGTCCCCAGTCGTAGTTCCATTCATTATTTTAAGTATTATTATTCAAACAATAGAGAAGTTGTTTTCTGTGTGAAAAAAGTGAAAAAATACAAAAAATCAAAAGTTGTAGTCAAAAAGTAAGTAATTTCCGGTGAAACAGAAACTTCACCAATACGCCAATCAATTCTTATTTATGTCATAGGTAGGTATACTAATATACCAAATCTCGTTTTTTTATCTAAAAAAAATAAATATAAAAGTTATAGGGGAAAACACCATCAGGTATTTAGATAAACGTCTAGATTGTTATAATAATTATACCTTTCAGCGTAGACCCCCAGATGGTATTTTACATCGCCAGAGCCCTCATCTTCCGGTTCTAAACCATGAAATTGTGCAAATATTTTTTTCAGCGGCTTTCGACATATGTTGGCCAACACATTTAGTCTTCCGCGATGAGCCATTCCAAGTATAATCATTTCCCCATCCAGTTGCGAACAAGTGTCAATGATTGTTTTTATACAGGGAATCATAATTTCGCAACCTTCAATGCCGAATCGTTTTTCGCTTGGCCATTTCCTTTGAAGAAATTTTTCGAATCTACAAATCGTTAAAATTCAATATTTACTTTTGCACTTTTAGACTTTTAGTCAAATTATAGAGGTCACTAGGAAAAAAGTGTTGGAAAGCTAACTATAAGTTTGATTGGTTGAGTTGACGTGAAAGATAAGTATCCTAGATTTGCACGGTTGCACGAGCCCGCTCGAGTCAGGAGTAGGGATGGGATAATTCGAGCGAAAATTGGCTCGAGTACTCGATACAAGTGACGAGTTACGAGCGACGAACGCAAGCGATCCTAGAATGTAATAAATTGAAATCCGATTTTAATGTGAAATACTCGATACAAAGCCGAGCGAATTTTCTACATACATTGCAGGTAGCAAATTTATACGACGTTATCCGTTGCATATCTGAGTGACAAAGTTTTACGACCTACATCGACAATTGTTGAAATAAACTAAACTAAATTAAAGCGAATACTCGTCGCTCGTCGCTTGCTACTTGTCATTCATCACCGACAGAATATGTGCTCTTCGCACGCAACTTACTGCTTGGCGTTACAAGCCTACCTACAAGCGACGGGCGAAAACCCGTATTTTTAAATACGAGCGATATTTCGCTTGAGCGATCACTCGATTATTGAAATAGCTTAAAACTCGATTACTGTATTATTGAAATTAATTGGGTTTTCCCATCACTAGTCAGGAGGTCCAGAAGGCCACAAAATTCTTGGATTTTTTTTAGATTTTCGCCTATAGGTCCGAAATGTTGCTTTCTAGCCATTATTTCATTATCCGTAAATTAAAGAGCATTAAATTCTGCGTAAAATAAGTATCAACTCGTTCAATTCGGTTCAGTAGTGTGGTTAGGTGTGTAGTTTGTGAACGAACTAGTTCCAATGAACTATTCCGACGCCGGAACGAAAGGAACTAGTTCCAGGTTTCCTAAACAACTAGTTCCTCAGGAGCTATTCCGAGGACCGAAATATAATAATATGAAACGGCGACGGATCGGTCAGCGCGATCGTAGCCCGATGCGAGGCGGGAGTGGGGAGTGCCAGCCGTATGTTACCGGTCTCGGACCAAAAGGACCGAGAGGAACTAAAATAAAAGACTAGTTCACGGACGAATCGGCCAGCGCGATCGTAGACCGAAGCTATGCGGAATGGGAGGACCAGCCGTATGGTATTGGTCTTGGACCGAGAGGAACTAGATGAACTACATAATTAAACGACTAGTTTACGAGATTCTATTCAGTCCGCAGTTTTGATATACAGGGTGCTATAAATTCGAGGTACGAGCATTGGTATCTCGGTAACCGTAATAGATACGAACATGGTTAAATTGGGGCAAAGTTGCGCTTTGGGATGTTTACCAAGATGCCATCAAAAAAGTTTTAATATTTTCAAGGATTGTTGAGTTTTTTGGAAAAAAACGGATTTTTTTGAAAATTAATTTTATTTTTTCCTGTCGTTATTTTTAAGAAAATAAAAAAAGTAATTGCACATTCTCATAGCCACTTTATAAGGGCTATCTGATAATATTTTTAGATTTTCAAATTAGCTGATAATTTGTGAGATACAGAGGCCAACCTAATTTTTTTAAATACTGGCCTGCATTTTTTATTTCAGATTTTGAAAGAACTTGGTCTCCTGAGTACAATGATATGCCACACTTAATATTTTTTTTTGTTTCGGACATTTGAACACAAGTTATTTAAACTAATTTCAAGTCTGGTTCTGTTTTTTTAATATTTAATCTATTCATCGTTACATTATTGATGAACTTTCAAACTTAAAATCTAAAAATACCATCAGATAGCCCTATTAAAGTGGTTATGAAAATATGCAATCAGTTTTTTGATTTTCTTAAAAGTAATGACAGGAAAAAAATAAAATTCATTTTCAAAAAAATCCGTTTTTTAGGCTAAAATACTTGAGAACTATTACTTGTAACGCTTTTTACTAAAAGACCTTGTTAACGTAAAAATTGCATATATATTTTTTTATTCAGTACTATAATACAGATACGGACAAAAAGTTATTAATCTTCAAAACAGTCAATAAACATTTGGCTGGCGCCCCTCCAAACAATAACTCCTGTTTGACATCGAAATCGAATTTCTCATGTCAAAAAACACCCGGACTCCAATTTTCATCCAAATATTACGTTAGTTCAGAAATGAATTAGAAAACATCGATATAAAAATGACATTTCTACACCCTGTCTCTCCGAAACGACGCATTTTAGAACATACATTTATACGAAAATTTTTACTTATTTTTATCTGCGGAATACGCTGCCGAAGTTTCTCGAATACAATTCGGACCACTCTGTATATTAATTTATTTATACGAAGAATGCTTTTTTGTCCTTGGAATATATTTTTTTCAATTATTACTTACAAGACAGCTCGAGCAAGCCTTGTGAGAAGTAGTCTTTTTTCCGCCTTGTTTAGTGATACAACTCCAGGGACTTCGAAATGTTCTCTTAACCAGTTACATCGTTCCACATCGTTAATGTACATGTACTCGATACCAATGTGTCGACAATATGCCAGCTCCAGACGTTTGACAATTTCTTTTAAGGGCAAGGATGTTTCGCTGCCTCCTATACGAGTCGATTCGGGTAGTAGAAAGGGTGTATTCATCATGGAGCTCTCTGAAATCAGATTAATTTTAGTTATTTATAAAATGGACTAATTGCGTATTAGCCCAGTCAATCTGGAGATTGAGGTGGAAAAAATTAGTAACCAACGAATCTCAGCGGGAATTTATAGATAATGATCTTCTATTTAACCCCTAAAATGTCCCAGTCGGTACTAGTGGGAGAAGTTTGAAAAAAAAAACGGCCTCCATGTTGGATTTTTTGAATTTTCAAAAAAACTACGAAACGGTTTTGGTAGAGAATTAAATTTTAAACATTTTACTTTACATCATTTTTCTCTAAAGTAAATATTAACCGATATAGAACTATTTTTTAGTTTATCTATTACAAGTTTTCCACCCCCCAGTTTTTACATTAAAAGTGCGTTTTCAATAACTATATAACTATAACTTCTAATTCTTGTCTAGAGTATACGGTATATATTATTTTTAAATTTAAAAATAAAAACCTTTAGTCTTTCTCAAAGATAAAAATCCACAGGCGCTAAGTCTGGCGGTTTCAATGGCCAACGGCTGCGACTTTGGTTAGCTATTCAGTTATTCTTGAAATTGTCTGCAAAAAATTGCTGACAATATCAGCGTTATGAGGCGGTGCCTCGTTTTGCTGTGTTTTCGTGTTCCATTAGGGGCAGATCATCGTAACGGATCCAAAACCTACTAGCCTACTAGGTAAAAGTGGTAGACTTTTAAAAATTCTGTATTTCGAAGACGACTCGAACAAAATATCGTGTGCTATATTTTTGGAAAGGTAATTTTAAGTTCTTGTCAAGTGAATTAAAAATATTCAATATGACCCAAATAAAACATAAATTTTTCTGCTGATAACTCGGTGCGGTTTTTACCATCATGTGCTGCTGATAAACCATGTGCGGTTTTTACCATCATGTTTTTGATAAAACATGAGCTTTGAAAACTTTTGAGCTCCAGGCTCCGATATTAGTTTTGTCTATCTTCTATGGAAAAGGGCATTTCCCTTTAAAATTGTCCAATTTGGTCCACTCTGTACATACAAGAAAGTTAAATAATTGATGTTGCATGGGTGGTACGTTGTTGAAATATGATAAGAATTGGTGTAGACTATTCCAAATATCATATAATACACATTCTGATAGTATAACAGCAGTTTTAAATCTTATCTAAATCGTATATAATCCAACTTAGATATCATACATGAATTGGTTTATAATGCTTCCGAATTATATACTTTTTAACACTTACCTATTTTGTGGTATCTTATTACTTCAGGTGGACTCTTTCCAAATTTTTCACTCAAACTAGTTGTTTTATCGTTAATATCGAACATTTCATATAGCGGATTTGTTCTCGCTACTAAATGACCACGAACCTGCAAAAATGATGACTATAAATTAGAAAATATTATATTTTTGAAAGATTCATTATTTGAAGAATACGGATTATTATGGTGTATGTAAAATAACATATAAATACTTGGTAACTTCTGATGATAGCTTGGACATTTAAATGTTCATCTATTTCTTTAGGACTGGCAGGATTGCTAACACTTGGTGCTGTTGCTGCAGTTCTAACTGTAGTTTTTGGTGTATTTGTAGGAGCCAATTGCTTCTTAACTAGTACAGGCTCTAATGTAGGAGGTCTCTGATAATCCCTTTCGCGAAAATATGCATCCCATGACTAAACAAAGATACAAAACAAAATATATACAACGTATCTGAATTCTGTTAGTTTGATCATATACTTACTGCATGAACACTACTGGGATCTCTTAGCCAAGCTTTGTACATATCTTCAATATACTCTTTAGAGTCGCCATTTAAAAACGATTCTTTATTTGAAGCTGCTGAAGTGCCGAATTTCTCCGATTTTGATAATCTGCGCTGAGCAAGGTAAGTGTTCAAGGCTTTGATAATTTGTATGATATTTGCCACTGCGATTTTTAACATAATTGCTGTAATTTATTCTTTTTAAAACATAAACTTTAATGATAATAAAATGTCAGACATTGACATGACTAAAACAAAATTATTTAGGTTATATAATTTTTGGTGTTTAATTTTAATAATGATTGAATTATAACATGTGGTGCAAAGGTGGTTCATCGGAACGCGGGACATGGGAAATGCCATGTAAATTTTGAAAAGGTTTTTTAAAAAGAACTTGATTATCTCTCCAGATGATTTTATGGAAAAGTTGTATTATACTTTTTTGAAGAGGCGTTAAAGTTGGACTTTCGTCTATAGAATTTCGATTTATTTGGAATAGGCATTTAAATGTTATTTGCAAAAAAACCAGCTTCAAATTACTAAAAATTTATAATAATATAAGGCCAGAGAAAGCTACAATTAAATTACCAGCAAAAATATGATTTTGCCATTGTTTGTCAATTTTGATGTCACATTTTGTTTACTTTCTAATTGTTTTCATATTCTTTCCACTCTCGGGGCAGCTTTTATAGTTCCTTATCTCGCTAGAGGCGCAGCTGTCACACAAAAAATTGCCGCTACTTTAATTTCAAATATTCTCGCCCAAAAACAAAGATCGTAATTAAACTTCTTGTTTCCCGTTCCTCCGTGGTTCCTCCTCCATTTTAGTTTGCCATTTTACGAAAAAAAGATAGATTATAGCTTTCGATGTGTCTGTTTCTAAATAAGAAGTGTGTTTATCGAAAACTATCGAGTTTGTTTCATAATTTTTAGTCGGTTTGTTAAGGATATTTGCCACCGTTGTGCTTTTCTTTCTCTTTTTGTTCTGCGTGAAATAAAATTCACCATGCCGTCATTTTGTGGTATTTCGAAGTGCTTAAAGAATGGACCAAAAGATCATTGCTTTCCGAATCCAAAAAGTACTTTGCCCGAGTTTGTTATTTCGGTGATACGCAGCTGAAACAAATTTATTGAAGATAGAAACAATTTTATAAGCTTATCAACATTTTACAACTGAAGATTATACTTTTAATGGCTAATTAAAATATAAAACACTTCCGACAGTAAATTTGCCAGGTAGATTTAGTTATGAAAGCTCATATTTAATATGTTAATAGTTTATATAGTTTTCAAAAGCAAGTGAGGGTTGCTGGATCAGACGTACTCTCCGATGGCAAAAATTATATCAGGTTCAGATCCTCAGAGTTTCATCTTGAGGTCTCTGTTATTTTTAATATACCGGGTGGTGCATCTCGAAAGTGGCTCACCCCTATAGCTTTTTTATTTTTTCAGTTAAAAAAACGAGATTTGGTATGTTAGTATATGACATAAATTAGGATTGATTGACATATTCAATTGTTTTCGGTCACTTTCTGTCGGTAATGACTACAACTTTTGATTTTTAAATGGGACCTTAGGTATTTTTTTTACTTTATGCAATAGAAAATAACACTCTGAATAGAATGACACATTATATGTCAACTTTTGACATTTTCGTATATAGCTTAATTGAAATTATAACTTGTGGTTCGTAACGAAAATTTAACTCAAAATACCAAGTGTGTGGTATCAAATTATTATTCGTAAAAAATGCTTTTTCCAAATATGCTAATGGGCCACCCTCGTACGATTTGGGCATCTTTTAACCGGCCAGGACAAGACACTAAAACATTAGACGATCAAATCTATTTTTAGAAGGCTCCTTGATTAAGAATTAGTGTTTTTAACATAGCCATGGCACTCTAGATTGAAATCTAAAATACAATTTTTTATTAAGCGAGAATGTTAAAAGTTTACATATTATATGTCATTCGATTCAGAATATCATTTTCTAGCATTTATAATAATTATTAGACAGTTGTAGAAAAAAGTATATATTTAGAATTTGCGAAAAATATACAATTTACAGAACTTCAACAATAGTTTATCACATTTACACAATTTTCTCTATTCGCAACACTTAGTGATGTCATTCATTAAATTTTCATATTCATTTTGATATTGGATTTTGTTCCCCGAAGCAGTACTGGCTGACGGTGGTCTTCCTACGTACCTAAGAATATAAGTTCATTTTCAAAACCATATTTGGTTTCGCTACCTTACTTTCTCACTCACGTGATTGCTCTTAGTCCTTTGAGGGCTGTCTCGAATCTTGGTAGCATATACGTCCAACAACCTGAATTTTTATGCTCTTCTTGTCCCCACACGATCTTAGCATTTTTATATTTTTCACATTCTTTTGTTACCAGGTCATAGGGAAATGGACACATCTAAAATTAAACATAACAATTATAAAACATGTCTCTACCTCTGTGGATGATTCATCTCTCCAAAAAATCCTATGGGTATTTCGCCACTGTAACAGCGCTTTCAAATGGAGCGGACCGTTCGCGACTTCGAGCAAATGTCATGAATTTATATGAACAATTTCACATGGATCGCGTATGCTCCATCCGGATGATTTCGTCCAACGTCTATATTGAAAAAACACGGGGACGAACAGCGCGGACGCTCCGCTCCATCTGAAACCGCTGTAAGAAAATCTACAAAATAAAATAGTTATTTTTTATAAACACTGCTGTGTTTAATCCAACGGAGGCTAATCATCAGCACAAATTTGCCTAATGGGCAAAAAATGCTTTATGTTTCTGGAAGTATATCTCTTCCCGTCGTCAGAAGCAAAAAAAAAACACAAAGAAAAAAAACTATTTAAAATATCTAAGTGCAAATATTCGAGAACATTTTAATTTATTTAAACAGATACGTCTATAAAATCGTTGATGTTGAAATTTTAAAAATTATAAAGAAAGAAGCGTAGCCTATAAACGAAAAATAGAGGAGTCTTTTTTGATACAATCTAATAAAAATAAATGTATTGCTCATGCATCTGTAGATGTTAGTAATGTATAGCAATAGTTTCTTTGATTTTAAATAACATAACATAAATAAACATAACATACGTAAAAATTAAAAACAAATTAAAAAAATTGGCACCGGGAGGCACGTATAGCCGCCCATACTAAAATATGTTAATAAAAAGTTGGTAGGCAGTTCTTTTAGTTTCAAAGTAAAGGAATTTTTCCAATTTTGGGCCGCGGTTATTTCCCCTATCCGCCACCTGGGGTCGCGTCTGATGGGAGTTTGGAGTTCTCCACACGGAATATCTCAAAAACTGCGACTTTGACTGATTTTGATGTTATTACAAATTTTGTTGCAAATATTATTCCTAATCTTAAATTGAAAACCGCGTTTCGTTAGCTACTGTAATTTTGGTTTGGTTTGGTTTGGTTTGGTTTCGATTTTTTAAAAATTTTAACCCCCTCCCATACCCCCTTACCAACCCCCCACCCCCACTAAAAACTAATAGCCAGATTCTCGGGTGCCACAATATTTTTGTGCCAAATTTGGTTAAAATCGGTTTAGCGATTTTTGAGTTATCGTGATAGAGACGGACAGAGGGCTAACCAGCTTAACATCATCAGCAAATGATGAAAACTGATGGTTAGCTTCAAATTTACGAATAGCGAACCGAGCGTCCAGTGTTAAAAGCAAAGTGTTTTGATGTATTGCGGTGAATTAGTGATTTATTTTGCTGTTGTTACACCAAAGGTTGACGCCAACTGTAATAAATATTTTTTATTTGTTTTGTTGCTGTAGGTACTAATAAGAGCCTTGTCGTCCAAAAAATCTTATATGCGATATATTAAAATTAAATGAGATTTGAAGTTCAGTTCTAATGAGCTCCTGAACATCTATTTCTAGCGTATGTCTACTTCAACATCATACGTGAAAATATAATATAACAAACTTAACAATGAAGGCATATAATTTACTCTAGTTTTAAAAATACTTTATTTTTTTCTATAATTTTTATATCCTTTTTAGCTAATTTCTTTTACGCAAGTTTTTATTACCGAATATTTATTAAACAGAGCTACTTCTTTTAATTCTAAAATTTCTAAGATTTTAATTAATTCCTGGAAAATAACTGTTTTTAAATTCAAGAAATTAATAAACATGTATTTTTAATAAGTAATAAATTTTACAATTTTGTTGTTTAATAAAAACGTGGCTATTAAACAAATAAAAATCGGGACATTAGGGCTTTGCGTGGGGACGCGGGACTTTTGGATCAAAATCGGGACTGTCCTGACAAAATCGGGACAGGTGGCAACCCTGATTAGACGTACTTGTTCAACACGAGCCACAGCTATTTTGTCATCCAGTTTTCTCTTCTCAATTTCTTTTATGAAGTCGTAATATACTTTTCCTGAACAAAATACCAGTTGTTTTACAATATTTGGATCTTCGGTCACCCGTCCTTTCGAAGGAATTAATCTCTGGAATTCCGTACCTGAAACGGACTGAATTAGCTAAACTTTAATCCATTATTTTCTTATTAGACACCTTCAGTCATTTCACTAAAATCGCTCTTAGCTTCTGAATGTCGCAATAGACTTTTGGGAGTAAAGAGAATCAGCGGTTTTCTAAGAAAGTAGAACATTTTAGTTTTACAACTAAATAAATATTGTAATCGCAAAACATTTTCGGATGCACGTCATCAATTATATCGACATTGACACTAAATAAACCTGGGGCGCTATTCTGTACACGGCATCGACAGTCGTCGGTATCGGTAAGTTACGACAGCTCTTGATACGTATTTGTATGTAGTAAAAATGTGATAATTGTTGTTGTCATAGTTACCGATCGGCCCTATGGCTGATATTGCAAATTTGTACCGACGAGGATCGGTATCTCTACCGTGACCTTATTAACTTTACGGTAAAGATACCGAGAGTCGTCGGTACAAATTTGCTATATGTCCTATTAATGACCGACAGTTCACGACAGAGTTACCGACAGCTATCGGTACGTACGGCCAATGAGCGTCGTGTTGATTGTTGTCATAGTTTTAGCTGTCATTACCATCAAAGGCTACGGTAGAAATACCGACTCTTTTTTTCTCAGGTAAGATTTCTACAGACGATGACAGAAGAAAAGCAGATGACGTCCCATATCAATCTATTTATTTTACTAAAAAATTTCTAATAATTTTTAAGTTAACTATGGATGGGTATAAATATAAATCCGTCATACGTCGTCTCTTGTTGTTAACCAGTTTTCTTGGTTTATTTCAAAAATGACAGATCGTATTTCAATTTTATTTTGACGGAACGATGAACGACAAACGGACGCCGATGCGTATGAACCAGTATGAACTCGCCGTTAGATTTTTGACGCTTGTCAAAGTCTTGCCAAATTATAGGTTATAATTTTGTGTCAACTTTTGTCAAATACCCTGCGTTTTGGAAGATGATGCATTTTGATTGGTGTTATTACGTGTGTTTTGTGTCTTTTGAAGTCAAGTGGAGGAAAAATCGAGTGAAAATTAACTGTAGGCCCAGAGCACAGTTTATGGTTAATACTCGCTGCCCAGGCAGAAAGTCTTATACACTAATAAAGTTATCATCAATAAAGTTCGTATACCATCTCGTCGTAGATAAGTGCATCTCGAATATGGTAGAAGGGCCATACCTGTTCTGTGGACCATACTAAACACATACTAAAAACTGGAGTAGCTGTAAAATATCGACATCACACGATAGGTAAATAATGGATTTTAGTACTGCAGAAAAATAACGCCAAAAGGTACTGGTTTAAAAAAATTAAGATTAAAGTTAATTATCAACTTTTAAGGTATAAAATTCGGTAAGTGTTATTATTAATAAATAATAAAATTATGTAAGTATTCTTGCCACTTGCTGATACAGAAATTTAATTCTACGCTGTGTTTGTCATAATGTGGATCAACCTGCTCTCACTACCGGTTTCGGAGCCCTACTCCATCATCAGGTGAGCTTGAAACACAGCGTAGAATTAAATTTCTGTATCAGCAGTTAAGTGGCAAGAATACTTATATAATTTTATTATAGACCTATACTGCAAGAAATTTGTTTTCTATTTTATAATTTGGCTTGCCTGGAAAAAAAAGCCTTCTACCATCCTTTTACTATTGATAATGCGCCTCGGTGGTACGAAAGTATTACCATTGCACGCAGGCGGCTATCTCCCGTTCGGGACTTAATATCTAACCGACACTTTCCGACAAGTCCGAATTAACTATCTCTGCGCTGTGGTTGTCATTTTGTGGATCTGTCCAAGCTCACCTTATGATGGAGTAGGGCTCCGAAACCGGTAGTGAGAGCAGGTTGATCCACATTATGACAAACACAGCGTAGAATTAAATTTCTGTATCAGCAGTTAAGTGGCAAGAATACTTATAATATAATTTTATTATATACCTATACTGCAAGAAATTTGTTTTCTATTTTATTATTATATTATTTATGTTGTTTATTTATTCCTGTGGAATATTACAAATTTGTATTTATACATACTTATGTTATATTGATAAATATAATCATAAATGCGGGAAGTTTCATTAAGCTTGAAAGTAAGAAATAGTTCTTTTTTATATTTTTTGGTATGTGGTGTCTTGTTCTTCTTTGTTTTGTATTAACACATACCGTTTTTTATTAAATAAAATAACTCGATTACATTTTTTCAGTTTTATACAGTTTTTTTCACAATATTTGGAAGTAATTATTTGTCAGTCAAATTTTAAATATATTAATTTCGTGTTGTTGTTGAATCTTTGTGAGTAATTATCGTTTTTTGCCTATTTTTATAGTCTTTTTTTTAAAAATTGTACTTTTAATCACAAACAGTTCTTTTAAGAACTAAATTTTCGAGTTTTTGTATTGCATTTCTTGAAATTGTGTGTTGAAAATATGCCGAAGCATTTAAACAGTCGAAGCAACGAGCTTGTAGCTTCCCTGATAACCTATTTTGAACGAGAACGTGATAATAAAGACCTTTTATTACCCTTAACTGCAGAAGGAAGTTTGATTGATAAGCACTTTACACGACTTTCAAAGTTATTCCTACGTTAGTTTTTATTAAATTCTGTGCTTATTAGTTTGTGCATTAACAGCACCTTCTTACTTGCTATTACCACTTATGGCGTTGTAAGATAATAATAAGATCCATCATTAAATAAATAAATAGCTCATAATAACGCTTACAATAATCTTCATAATGGACTAGTTTTTGCCAATATGTAATAAGTAAAATAAACTCTAAAACAAATAAATCAATTAATTACTAAACTATTAGTTATTAAATGAAAAATAAAACGTAAAAATCTTTAAAAAGTATTATAATAAATATATTGTTTGTCACTTTTAAATTAAGATTGATCTCATAAATCTATCACAATCTGGCAGCGCTGCCGCCATCGTTTGTCACTCAAAGTTGATGACGTGCATCGGAAATTGTTTTGCGATTACTTTAACATATTTACCTAAAGGGCAGTTTAATTTGCCTGCGGAGGATGTGAAATAAATTTGCCGGTGTTGTGCAATTAGCTACGATCCAATTAATATCATTAAGTTGATTTAGAGCTAAATTTGAAAAATCTGGTGGGAGGTAATCGGAATCGTCAGCACACAATTCAAGAAATCGTTCGATCCTGGCACTGGAATGTTCAGGACCTTGACCTAAAACCGAATAGTTTGGTTTGGTGTATTGTTGCTCAAAGAAGAGAAAGTAGGAAGAAAATAATACTACTTAAGGAAGATCGATAGAGAATAGAAAAGATTACACACTCAAGGCAAGTTGAAATAAATTATTCAGCTGAAGTACCTTGGGCTGGGTACGTGTATACTCTCATGACTCACTTATTTCAACTTGTACTGGGTGTGATCTTTTTTACACTCACCAGCACGAAAAATGGGCACCTTAAAATTTTCATGTATTTTAAAGTTTTATACAGTATGTCCCCGGATTGTCTTTACAAGAGAAAAACGTTTTTTATTATTGACATTTTGAGAAAAATGCATTCTTCATAAAATTTTTGCTTGTTCTAAAATGGATAATCCTGTTTATACTTTTGCAAATTTCCATACGTTTTTTTAGAGAACATTAAGAAAAACTTGAAAATGTGGTTGAATTTTTTCCATAAAAGTCCTTAAAATCAAAAGGCCTTTCTATTGGTGCGTTTAGCGCGAGCTGAGCGTGCGCGCACGGCATTCGTTCGCGCTCTCGGCTCCGTTCAAATTAAAAACTTATTTTTCGACGAATGAAGTGATCCATTTGTGCGCGCACAGCAGAGTTGTGTTGGCGAAAATAATGCACCGAATTAACGAAGATTCATTAATCCACTCCATAATTTTAATAAAGAAAACGAAAAAAAATCACACACGCACGCACGAACGCAGACAAAACAAATTGCCGGTGCAAATTGAGCGTTCGCGCACACATAAAATCCCTTTGAGCACGTGAGCGTGCGCGCACAGCCGTTTACACTTGAGCATTCGCGGAGGATCAGTGCGTGCGTGCTCAAGTCTAAACGCACCATATGGTAATATCAATTCGATTTCATTCATTAACAGATGGTTATTATTAATTTTGATTAATGTCATATTCTTTACTGTTGTTAAAATATCATATATTCTGATAACTATCACCCTCCGACCACCCTTTGCGTAGCATTTAACTAAATAAATTGTGTGCTAATAAAGTGTGTAAAAAGGTTATATTACTATAAAAACGCGTTTTGATTTTTATAGTCCGGTCGTCCGTGCGTTTTTTGAGGGGGCGTGCGTTTTTTGAGGGGGCCTTTTTTTATTGCTGATAGTAATATTTAACATGGTTTTAATTAATTTAAAAATGGGAGTCTCTTAAAAAAACTGTCGTTCGGCTGCCATCTTGAATTTCAGGCTGAAAAGAAAAACATACTTAAAAATGACTTACCTGCTTAACAAATATATACTTTTGTGCTTGAAAGTTTAAATTAAAGACTTAAAAATATTTAAGATATATATTTGTGATATTAGGTTAACATACAGAGTGGTTAAAATAATAAAAAAAACGTTTATTCATCATCTGTGTCGCTGTCTTCCAGTGCTGAATCATATGCATGTCGATATTGTGTCATCTGCTTCTTCCTCCACCTCGTCATCAATGTCGTTGTCTTCTGTCTTGTCTACTAAATCAGTCGCCACTTATTCTTTGACCTCATCACTACCTTGGTATAAAAGAAACTTTTGGGCCGCCGTAGGTAATGCAGGTTGCATATGCATATGAGGCCGCAATCCTCCTTCGTCGGACTTCCACCCAAATTCTGTAAGTGTTAAACTTCGTAACTGCCTTGCATTTTTGTACTCATAGGCCTGTAAGTGACTCCTGAGACAATGCTGATGATGAATGAATCTACGTCTGGCGGCAACCGTGCAGTATCAAATTGGTGTAATTGTCGCCACTTACGAGCTCTAGCATGAGCCAACGTTTTGCTTACCGGATCGTTATACAAAACTCTAAGTGTGAATAATTCGAGAATAACAAAGAGCTGTTCTGAAAATTCGTCACTAGAACCAAGCTGCTGTATTGTCTGAAAATAACTTGCATTATCTGAGTGAAGCAAACGTTTCATTGCAGTGACCTTTCCCAAACCAAAAAACCCTTCTACAGAATCACATCCGGTAAATGTATAAACACCAACAGCAGCCGAGGCTTTATCTAAATCTGAACATAGAGATCAACAATTAAAAAACTCTGAACCACTCGTTTTTTTTTGTACATAAACATATTCTGTTCAGTTAAATGGCTAATGAAACCAGGAAGCTCATATAACATTCATCGATCTACAAAAAGCATATGATACAGTGCCAATAATAAAATTATGGGAAGTATTGCACGAATCAAGAATTAACGCAGCTCTGATAAAAGCTGTACAGAATCTTTACCATGGAGGAAAATCACAAATAAAAACGGTCAACGGTCTCTCAGAGGAAATTTCTAAGGGCTCCGACAGGGTTGCTGTATATCCCCAACACTATTTAAAATTTATATTGCCAAGGCCTTACATCTATGGAAAAGAAAATGTAACGGAATGGGTATAGAACTAAATGACATATGCCTATACACCTTGCAATTTGCAGACGACCAGGCCATAATTGCAAACGACAAAGATGACATGGAATATATGGTGCGGAAAATAATTGAAGAATATGCTAAATGGGGTCTCACAGTAAATACAGAAAAAAACAAAATACCTTCCAATTGGAGCTAATACAGAAAATCTTATTTTAGACAATAATATGGAAATTAGGGCATGTGAAGATTACAGGTACCTGGGATCGATATTTACAGGAGATGGAACGGACGATAGAGAAATAAACAACAGAGTAATACAGGCACGAAGAGTTAGTAAAACAGTAAATACAGAAAAAACAAAATACCTTCCAATTGGAGCTAATACAGAAAATCTTATTTTAGACAATAATATGGAAATTAGGGCATGTGAAGATTACAGGTACCTGGGATCGATATTTACAGGAGATGGAACGGACGATAGAGAAATAAACAACAGAGTAATACAGGCACGAAGAGTTATCAGATGCATAAATGGCATTCTATGGAGCACTGAAATTACAAAAAACAGGAAATATAATATATACGAGACACTAGTTAAAAGCATATTACTCTATGGATGTGAAACATGGCGACTCACTGAAAGGAATAAAAAGGAAATTAGAGACAACAGAAATGGACGCGATTAGAAGAGCAATGAGAATTTCACGGAGGGATAAGATCAGAAATGAAGACATTAGACAACAGATGGGAATAGAGGGAACAATAGTAAATGATATAGAACAAAAACAATTAATATGGTACGGCCACGTTCAGAGAATGCACAATGAAAGAATTCCAAAACAAGTCATTCATTGGATACCACCTGGTAAACGAAAGAAAGGACGTCCCAAGAAAACATGGATTGAAGGAATAAGAAGGTCGATGAGCGAGAAAAATCTGACCGAAGATCGATGGGAAAATCGCACAGGGTGGAAGTTAGGCATCGGACAACGTCGTAGGACGTTCTGACCCGAATTTATATATATAAATGGCTAATGTATGAAGCAATAATCCACACATCTGTGTCCTCAAAATCAAAAACAACGAAGTCAGAATCGCTCAGTTTAGCCGCTTGGAAAAATGCTCTTATATCCGCTTCAGATGGTGAGGATGCCTCAAATCTTGGATCACATTCGCCAGTTCTTAGGCTATAGCAGATTAGGTCTTTTGTGAATACCAATCAGCGGTATGATCATATTTGACCCATTCTTTTAAAATAAATTCTTGCAGTCCCCGTTTGTTTTCCGGTTTTGAAAGAAAAGAACGCCATGATTTACCTGTAGGCATTTTCTGGCCAGCCACAGGATATATATTTGGAACAAATCCGTACGATTGCATTCGGCGTTTCTGCTCTTGGTGCGTCACGCTGTCCATTAACACGTTCTCATCGTATATATCATTGATCAGATGGAAAGCTACGGCTTGAGGATGGCGATTTTACAAATATTTATAAAGATTTACGGCGAACTGTCTCCAAGTCGTCGAAGCTGGTACTTTATTCCAACATCGACTATGACATGGTATTGGTGGTAACACAGGCTTAATTTTTTTAAATTTTTTAGGTGTTTTTTGGTATAAATCAATATGGCGGCCAAACGACGCCATTTTGGAAGAGACTCCCGTTTTAAATTTGATCTTAGACACCTAATGAACTAGTAAGAACAATAAAAAAGGTCCCCTATTAAAAACGCACGGGATGTTGACCGGACTATTAGGACAAAAAATTCAACCATATTTTCATGTCTTTCTTAATTTTCTTTAAAACTGTATGGAAATTTGAAAAAGTAGAAACGGGATTATTCATTTTAGAACAAGCAATTTTTTTTTATGAAAAATGCATTTTTCTCACAATATTAATAATAAAAAAAGTTTTTCCTCTTATACAGACAATCCGTGGACATACTGTATATTGTGTTCTAGTGGACCGATTTTGATGATTTTTTAAGCAGTTTGTAGCTAAATTATTTGACTTTTTAGTGTGTCTTTCTAAATTAAAAATTAAAGTAGCCATCTGTCATTATTTATACGAGGAAAAACAAAATGTTGATATTTTGGTAAAAGTCTGAAAAACCCTGTAGGGTACGTTAACAAAGCAAGGAATTTAAAAATCACTTTATCATCTAAGTGTATCTTTTCTTGATGTTTTTTTAATTCATCTCAATCTCAATAGTTTTATTTTTTTGGAGATATTCGCTTTTGAAGGAGACACTAACATTTTTTCAAATTTTTTACTTTAAAGCCATTACTTTGCTTTTGCTCTTAGCTTAGTCATCAGACCTATAAAATAGTATTTATGATTTATTTAATGTCACTGTTTTTGAAAAATCATATTATTACTGTCTGTTGGGCAGTTACTCTAGTAGATATGATATGGTTTTAAGTCCAAAAGTTGATCTCTATTATGATCAATTAAAGTATCAATAGCCGATACATCTCTGTTAGAGAAAACCTCAATAAACAATAATTATATGACCTTTCAATGATTGTGACATTACAAAAACAATATACATAAGTGTGCTGATGAGGACCCAAAATAAATGCTAAATTGCTGTAAATCGTTACTCTCTTATTCAAAAGCTACTATCCAATAAAAATAAAGCTATTGAGATGCATTAAAAAATAAACTATCGGGAAAAGACGTACCTAGATGAAAAAACAATGTTTAAATTGTTTGCATTGTTAACATATTCCACAGGGTGTTTCTGAAACTTTCACCAAAATATCAACATAGACAGAGAAGTTTCATTCTTAATTTAGAAGGATATACTAAAGAGTCAAAAAATTTAGCTACAAATTGCTTAAAAATCATCAAAATCGGTCCACTAGGACAAAATTTATTAAACTTTAAAATACATCAATATTTTAAGGTGCCCGTTTTTCGTGCCGGTGTGTGTATAAAAAAATCCGATAATGAAAAATATATCTGATAGTTCAAAGGTAGGTACCTTCAAGTCCATGTGGCAACAAACATACCATTCCACATTGACGTATCCATTTACTTTGTCCACTGGCAATCATGGTATCGAACATAGCCTGTGCGTTATTTGAAAAATCCCCAAACTGACCTTCCCATAGTACCAAAGAATTGGGGCTAGCCATAGAGTATCCGTGTTCAAATCCGAGAACGCCATATTCAGAGATCGAACTGTTGCATACGGTATAAGGTGCCTGGTCAGGATACAAATCTTGAAAATACCTTAAAAATGTAGTTAATTTATCGGGAACAGATTTTTTGCCAGGACCTTTAAAAAAAAATTCAGAAACTATTTGAGACCAGAGTTTACCAAAAATGTTTTTTATAACTACTACTGGGTAAATGAATTTGTAGTATAGTATGATTTTTTTTGAAACTTTAGTTTTGGACATATAAATTTAATTGGACCTTTTAAAAAAATTATTTTTTTTTCAGAAACTATTTGAGACAGAGTTTACCAAAAATGTTTTGTATAACTACTACTGGGTAAATGAATTTGTAGTATAGTATGACTTTTTTTGAAACTTTAGTTTCGGAGATATAAATTTAATCGGACTTTTCCACAGTCTACAAGGTCAAACGGTAATAATAAACGGAGAGCTGTTACATAAAAAAACCTTATCATCGTTACATGGCTAATTTTTCTTGTGAAGTATCCTGTTGTGTAGCCTTAAAAAAAGCTTAAAGCGGGCGCGGTTTTTTCTGTATTTGCATCCATTCTTTTTCGTAACCATAGAGTAAAGCCGTTGGCATGATAGGTTAGAAATAATTATACCGTGGGTAAATTTGCTGTGTGGGAACAGGCAGTTCTAAAAAGTTTTCTAAGATATACAAGAAAATTTTAAAAAAATACACGTTTGCGAGAGCGAGGATTTGCAGTATGATGAAAAAATATATTTATATATCGTATATTTGATGGCCGCCCTCGCTTTAAGCCACGGGATCACGCTGGCAGACATGACTATTTATAATGGCTACGCAAAAGGATGATAGGTTTTTTTTATCTAGCCAGCTCTTAGATTATAACCATATTGACGTAATGGACAACCTGCATCTTCAGTTCATTTATTCATGCATAAAGGACGAATACAGGGTTATGTAGGTTAAATATTCAAGATGTTGCTTACCGACAATACGACGTGAGCTACGACCAGGACCAAGGACCAAGGACCAATCAGAACTATCAGTCTTTCTTGGACATTTGCCGTGGAAGTGTGTGTTAATTTCTGTTGTGATAAGTGTGGTTGTGTTTGCAGTTTTGATATTATGTCAAAATTAATTAAGTATTGTATCACCTGTTTTTATGTAATAATACTTTTTTTTAGTTCTATGATCTGATATGTTATGACTTGTTAATGCTTGTTTAACAATGTTATACCAAAGAGGTTATACTTAATATATCAATTTGCATAGCATAACTTTTTTATCAATAAACTTAGTAGAGTTTCAGATTATCTAATTCCTTTTGTTTCCGTTTGTAATTTTATTTTTAAGATATATTGTGTGACTGTTTCACATAATATATATTTTAATAATAAAATTGCAAATAACGAATAAAAATAATTAAAATAAAAAGGTGTATTTTAAAATTCCCGCCTGTTCCCCCCGGCCCCGCACCCCTTTGGCTATCCTATAAATGTCGCCTATGACCAGAGATGGCGACACGAAAATGGAACCGATTTATTACAAGGAACTGAGGCTTCTATGGACGAATGATCTAAGAAAATTCCACGTGGCGTCATCGCCTAGTTCTCGTATGTCTGTCTTGCATTTGCGCATCCATGACTCGTTCAAGAGAGAGGAAAATTGCTGGCATGACGCACTAGCCTTCTCAGCTGATGCGTACAGTAGTGCATTTTTTATTAGAGAACAACGGCATACGGTCGAGTCGGCCGCTCCTGGCACGTATACGTAGACGTAAAGAATCTTTTAAGTGTATAAAAAATAGAAAATATAAGAAATGCGCATGTGTACGTAAACGTTTACGTGTTTGTAGGCCGATTCGACCGTATGCCGTTGTTCTCTATTAATAAATCATCCTTACGTGTATCGAGTCTTGTCCTGGGTTTGATGATGCAATACATGATGTCTATGTGAGAATGTTCCTCTCTCAACATCTTGACCAGATAATCTTACGTGCACACCCTCTTTTAGTAAGCTTCCAAAAGTCATTGCTTCTCCTATTGCCCAATCACACTTTTGGTGCGTTACCATATCCATTCTATGTTTCAATATTCTCTTCACAACTACAAGTTATTAAATATTATATAAATTTAATATTACAGTAAAATAGAAGCTTCTATTTAGTTTTATTTTTTTAATATAAAATTTTATATTTTCAATAAAAAATATTGTTTTCAATACTTACCTCTATGAATTACAAAACCGTCTGGCGGAGGACTGGCAAACTTCATACCGATATGTTTTAGTACGTCTTCACTTACTCCTGTTGGTTCGCATTTGGTTTTATCTTTATTTTCGAAGAAGTTATTCCACGGCGAGTCTATCCAGTCACTGAATCTGACCGTTGTTTCTTGAGAGGCCCTATTAAAATCTTCCTCGCAAATTTTTTCGTATTGATGTTTATAATCGTTAATTTCTGTATCTGTCGTGATTCCTAGAATTCGCGGAAAAAAAATCGTGGGTGTTTGGGTAGGCTCGAAAGGAAACAATGTTTGTGCGACGTTTCGCGATTTTATTGTCGCTTCTTTAGGCACCAAAACATATATTAATCCATATGCCTAAACACATTCATGCGATTCCAATTTGTCAATAAAGTCGCGAAACGTCGCAAAAACATTGCTTTCTTTCGAGACTTCCCAAACATCCACGATTTTTTTCTGCGTACTAACTACTGGGAACTAACAATAATCATAATATTCCTAACATTGTTTGATAATACTACAGGACGTAAATGAAGTGCGAAAAAGTTCTTTGCACTTATCAGTTTCATCATTACCTGCTCAGATTCTATCAATATTCTTATTGATAGATTATTCTACCAATAAGAAATATATACCGGGTGGTGCATCGTCGTTGGAAACATAGGAAATCATATGCAAATTTTGAATTATCCAAATATTGGCTCCCCTGTTGATTTTACAGCGTTAAGTCGTAATTAGGTTTTTTAAAGGTCTGTACAGGGTGAGTCAACGATAGAGTAAAGTCCATTATCTCATTTGTTTCGAGGTTTACAAAAAAATATTAAATATAAAAGTTATAGAGATGGTTCAGATACATATTTTAAAATTATTATACAGTATACAGGGTGCTTCAAAAAGTGTGGCGAATATAACATATGTTTTTTTAAATGCAACACCCTATTTTTTATTTTATTTTTAGATTCTGCGTAAAATTCCATAACTTTTTTATATATAATGTTATATACTTAAAATTAACAGTTTTTGTTATATTTAAATTTGTTTAAACAAATGTTAGATTGCAGTGGGTTAAAAAATTGTCAATGATGGCATTGATTCTGAAGTTGGACAACAATAGAAAAAGACCTATGTAAAGATATTTTAGTTAGATGTTACAGGGTGTTCAAAATATATTTAGGAATTTCAACTACTTAAAATTAAGGAATTTCAATTTTTTTAAGTGGTACACCCTATATATTATTATTTTTTCTGATAGATTTTACCAAACTCTTCAACTTTTATTAAGAATGTCTTATACCTATTTTTATTACTTTGCGATTTATTCCAATTTTTTCTATTTTTACCCATATTTGTAATACAATTGGGCTATAACATCATAGTTACCATGACAAAAAGTAATAATTATCACAATTTCATGTCTGTTAAGCAAGTTAAGAACAAAATTTTAATTTTAGTTTAATTTGTTGTAATAAGTATAAATGGTAGAGATAATAGTTACAGATTTTCTTGAAATGAATTAGTCAATGTGATTGATATACACGGACAACTTAGAAAACCACATTTTTTGGTTCAGTACTATATATTATATAGTACTTTGCTAACTACTATAAGGATAGATGTATATTATCTAGAAAACATCTTCAATGTGTATTGGGACGGTTTCGCGGCAGTAGTAATATTGGCTTTACCAAATGAATTATAAACCATAATTACTACGAGAAAAACTTTACTGTATGTCGAAGAAAATTCATATATCAGTAATCTTCAGCAATTAGGTAATCTAGTATTACCCTAATCTGTGGCTATTCGCCCCGACAAAAAATCCCAAGGGTCATCTTTCATAATATAGAAATACACCAAGAAATTCACTACTGCGATTTAGTTTATTTGAGTAAAGTTAATTAATTTTAACTAATACCAACAATAATTGTAACTAATTATGAAACTACTTGTTAAAGGTAAGTAATAAATAGTTTTGTTTTGTCATGGCAACTATGATTTTATAGGGTAATTGTATTGAAAATATGGGTAAAAATAGAAAAAATGGGAATAACTCGCAAAATATTAAATATAGGGATATGACATACTTAATAAAAGTTGAAGAGTTTTGTCAAATCTATCAGAAAAAATGATAATATATAGGGTGTCCCATTTAAAAAATTTGAGATTTTTTAATTTTAAGTAGTTGAAATTCATAAATATATTTTGAACACCCTGTATCATTTAACTAAAATATCTTTACATATATCTTTTTTTTTTCATCTCTATAAAACTCTCCTACCAAATTTTGGTATTCCAACTTCAGAAACAATGGCACCACTGACAATTTTTTACCACACTGCAATTTAACATTTGTTTAAATAAATTGAAATATTACAAAAACTATTAATTTTAGGTATATAACATTATATATAAAACAGTTATGAAATTTTACGCAGAATCTAAAAATAGAATAAAAAATAGGGTGTTGCATTTAAAAAAAACATACGTTATAGCCGCCACACTTTTTTGAAGCACCTTGTATACTCTATAATAATTTTAAAATGTGTATCTTAACCATCCCTATAACTTTTATATTAAACATTTTTTTGTAAACCTTGAAACAAACGAGATAATGGACTTTACTCTATCGTTGACTCACCCTGTACATGCTGAGTAGGGGAGACCGAGGGGAGTTGAAACAATTTTGACGTTTTGCTTCATTGACAAAATACTATAAACATCGATCTGGTGAAATTAGTATCCAATGATACTAATCAACTTTTAAATAAAGCCAAAGATAAAGCTTCTAAAAGTAAAATAAATCACTAATATCTTTTAAATAAAGCTTCTAAAAGTAAAATAAATACATATGTTTGATAGGTTTTTATATTAGTTTTAATTTATATGTTTAATAGAACCATTTTGGTATATAGTGTTCACGGATATTCAGTTTAAACTTTAAACTTTGTTTTCTCAGTTTCATCGAAATGATCTATAGAACAATCTTATTCTAGGGTGACGACAAGTCATTTTGTTTCAATATATCTCTCATACCGAGGTAAGTTGATGTATGTCATATGCCATACCAAAAAAGTTGTCATATGCCATACCAAAAATATCCATATTGTTCAATTGCCACTAATAAATAAAGACCTATAATAGGGAAGAATTAGGACACAACCCCAAATGTTATGTCAAATCATCGAGCTTGAAATTTGAAAAGATATGACATATTTACACACATTTATTATGTGTGATCTGTTTGACAATTTGAAAATGGCGCGCGGAGCTTGCCGACCAATAGTACCGTTTATCACCTGTGACGTAGTGACCATCAACCTGCACAATATCATACCTTATTTTCTTTCTGTCATGATTTCTTTCTACCATGTTTTCTTTCTACCAACATTTCCAACAGCGACGATGCACTATTCGGTAGATATTCCATTTATAAGTATTATTAGATTCAGTGCTTTATTATTCTATATTCACGACATTATCTCTGTTTGTATTGGAGATACGCTGCTTTAAAACAAACGCCACGAAAAAAGCTTTAAAATCAAATCAAACATCCGAACATAGATGTAAACTAACTAAAACAGGAAAATTAAAAAAAAAAGGTAAAGACATTTTAAGGGACTAATATCTAGTGTCCACTGGCCTGGTGAAATTTCCCGTTTCCATATACCGATTCCAGGCATCCTGGACTGTTGTTCGAAATATACCCAGGGTTTCGGAGACATAACGTTGACTTCGGCCATCCCCAATTAAAGCCACAATACGAGCAACATCCGTTACAGATAATGGCATTTTTTAATTTGACAACCGTTTTTCTCATATTGCAAATACTCATAAATCCGTTTTCGCCTATGTCGCTTTGATTATTTACACATTAAACTTTCTGCCTTTTCCGAGATGAATTCTGAATTTTTCCGAGACATTCGTTTCGGATATCTCCAATACAAAAAGAGATAATGTGGTGATTAAAAAAACAAAATGCTCACAAAAGTTGAAGCTACAATGTGATTTAATTTAGCAATAGCTACTACCGCTGCTGAAGTTCGGGCAAAAAACTTCGTCTTATTGTTGTGCCCTGTATATGCTCAAAATAAATTCGGAATAAAAATTTCTGACGTAGCATCCGTTAAAAAGGAATTAATTTACAATTTAAAAGAAAAATCATCAAAATCTAATGAGTGGTTCGCGAGAAATCCAACTTTGAAATTGGGTCTAATTTTTAGTGACCGGTTTTTTTTGCCGGTGAGTTTATATTTTAGTTATTTTATATATCCAATAATTCCATCCTTGACAATATTATTGCAATTATCGATTTTACCCTCAGCTATTGCAACATCGCAGTACTTTTGCCAAACATTCTTCATTGATTTGATTTTGGTGTACATTATAGGCTGAGTAAACATGGGTTCGTCCAATTCATTGTGCCCGTATTTTCGGTAGCCAACAATATCAATTACAACATCTTTTTTGAACTTGTTCCTCCATATCGCTGCCATTTTGCTAACATATACTGCGCTCTCTGGGTCGTCGCCATTTACGTGGAATATGGGTGCATTGACAACTCTAGCTACATCTAAAATTATTGTATTTAATAAATTATTATAACGGGCGCGTCTCAAAAGTGGCTCACCCCTATAACTATTTTATTTTTTCAGATAAAAAACGAGATTTGGTATGTTAGTATATGACAAATTAGGTTTGATTGACCTATTCAATTGTTTTCGGTCACTTCCTGTTTCAACGCAAATGACTACAACTTTTGATTTATAAATGACACACTTGGTATTTTTTACTTTATTCGATAGAAAATGACGCTCTGAATAGAATGCTATATCATTATGTCAACTTTTGACATTTCCGAATATGGTTTATTTGGAATTGCAACATGCGATTCAAAAAAAATTCTAAAAAAAAAGTGGTACCAAATTATTCGTAAAAAAATACTTTTTCCAAATATGCTAATGTTAAATACGATTTGGGCATCTTTTAACCGGCCCTGACAATACACTAAAACATTAGACGATCACATCTATTTTTCCAAGGTTTCTTGAATAAAAATTAGTGTTTTAACACAGCCAAGGCACTCTAGATTGAAATTTAAAATACAATTTTGTGTTAAGCGAAAATATCAGAAGTTGACATATAATATGTCATTCTATTCAGAATGTCATTTTCTATCGAATAAAGTAAAAAATACCTAGGGTGCCATTTAAAAATCAAAAGTTGTAGTCATTTCCTGTGAAACAGGAAGTGACCGAAGACAATTGAATAATAATCAATCAATCATAATTTATGTCATGTATTAACATACGAAATCTCGTTTTTTATCTGAAAAAATAAAAAAGTTATAGTGGTGAGCCACTTTTGAGACACACCCGGTATATATTGTCCGTCGGGAGATTATATAACATAAATTAATCGCAAAACATTTTCCGATGCACGTCATCAATCATATCGAAATTGACACTAAAGCCTATAAACCTGACTAAATGAAATTTTGACAAAAATGTTTAAATTTGTTGTACAGGGTGGCCCATCGAAAACGTTCCGCAAGGCATAACGGCCAGGGTAATTTTTTTTTTCCAGAAAATTCAAAAATACGTCAATTTTGTTTGTGAGGGGGACAACTTTTGCCCCAAAAATGATTGCAAAATCTTCAACCCTCTAAGCGGGGGTGTCATCCCCAAACTTTTTTTAAATGGGAAGGGGGATGAAGTGGCGCCGCAATGAAAAGAGCTTTCTATTCTCTATATTTCCCCGCTTCGTTTTTGAAAATCGGCCATTGAGAAAATATGATGGATTGAAATTTGAAAAGTTTATTTAAACATTTATCAGAGTAAATGATAAGGATACATTCCTTTGACCAATTTGCTGTTTTTTCTTATTATTTCTAGATGTTTACGCATTTTTTCACTTGCCACAAGGTTGAACGAGGTGCGGTAGTTGTTAGATAGCTATTCTGTGACTTGTGCGTTGAAGTTCTTCTCAATATCGTTAAACTTTTTAACAATTATGGTGTACTCACTTGCAGAAAAAGTGGAAATAATCGAACTTTATTTTAAAAATAATGAATGTGGCAATCGGTTTGCGCAGATATTCCATGAACGTCATCCTGACAAACAGCTTTATGGCAAAATTGTTCGCGAGTTAGTAGCAAAATTTCGCGAAACTTGTTCCGTTATGAATAAACAGGGGCAGAGGGAAAATCCTGTAGTAAATGAAGCTATGGAGGTATTTGACAAACGAATCTAAAACGGCGGAAGGAATTCGGGCAAAAAAGTCGATGTTGTCACGTTTAATTATAGAAAAGCAAAGTTGCTCGATATTACCTATAAATTGAATATACCTATTTTAGTTCATTTCAGCATACATAATTATATATATGCTAATATGTTGACGTAGTTATTATTGTAATAATGTATTCTATTGTAATAATCTATCTAATTAACTGATTTCGTTCATTCTGCCTATTATAAAAGGTAAAGTATTTCCTTAAGATAACGTCCGCTTAGGGTAAGCTGGCAACGCTGACAAAATTCATCATGGCATCCCGGGTTCAACCAGTTTGATTGGTCGAGATTCTCGCACGTCTTGCCGCCATTACCCCCAACTTTATGCCTCTCTCTAGGAATACTAGAAACAGTCACTACTATTGAAAAATCCAGTGGCGGTGTTATTGTATTGTGTTTTATATCTTTAAATTGATTTGTGTTTATTGTAATTAGTACACGCGTTTTAACAAATATTACTATATTTGGCTAATGACTAAACAAAATGTAAGTACATTTAAAGTAAAATAATATTATAAACTTTACTGGAAAATATTATAAAAATTCCTGATATATTTTTATGAAATACCGCACGCTCGTGGATATTTTATGAATGAAATCGGTCACGATTTTAGAAAATTGCGATCCCCTTGCCGTTTCCCCGTTGTTTCAGATCCGTTTGTTAGACTGTATTCGTATTGGGCCAAGTTACCATGGATAGTATGCTGAGTACAAGAAAATTAGCCAATGAGACCGGAGTGAATCGTACAAGTGTCCAAAGGATATTAAAAAAACACAAGTTCCACCCGTACAAAATTCAGTTGGTAGAAGAACTCAACAATGACGATTTTGATCGTCGCGGGCTGGTATTTTTGGAATTTCTATTGTGGGTCAGCTTAACGATATTGAGACTGCACCTGATCGTTCAACCTTGTGGCAAGTGAAAAAATGCGTAAACATCTAGAAATAATAAGAAAAAACAGCAAATTGGTCGAAGGAATTTATCCTTATCATTTACTCTGATAAATGTTTAAATAAACTTTTCAAACTTGTGTGAGGTTCAAGTTAACGTCTCCTTTCTGCTGCAATGGCTAAACTGGACGGGACCTACTTGTTTACGCGGAATCCGAACCGCGGTCCTCGGCCATATCATGGTCAATGGCCTACCGACTTAGGAAGTGTCTAAATTAACTCTTACTCACGAGATATCCGATCTCATCCGGCCTTGAACCGGCGTGAATGAGCAGTGTGTATCAATAGATTTTACACTTTTCCCTTTTTGGACAACAGCACGATGCAAAGTTTCGAACCGGTCACCCGTCCATCCACTAGCATCGCCTTACGTCGCTTAACTTCGGTGTTCTAATGGGAACCGGTGTTTCGACGTAGCTGGGCCGTTGCCCTCTTTTCAAACTTCAATCCTTCATATTTTCTCAATGACTCTACCGATTTTCAAAAACGAAGCGGGGAAATATAGAGAATAAAAAGCTCTTTTCATTGTGGCGCCACTTGACCCCCCTTCCCATTTGAAAAAGTTAGGGATGACAACCCCGCTTAGAGGGTTGAAGATTTTGCAATCATTTTTGGGGCAAAAGTTGTCCCCCTCACAAACAAAATTGACGTGTTTTTGGATTTTTTGAAAAAAAAAAAAATATATCCTGGCCGTTATACCTTGCGGAAGGTTTTTGATGGGTCACCCAGTATAATTTAAGAAACCAAGCACCTCATCATTTTACTTTATAGAGCAAATGAATGCAACAGATATTTTATTTAGATTAAAGCTGCAAAACAGGACCATTTTAATGTATGGCATTTAAATAATATTGTATTGTTGACATACCTGTAGCGTAAGGAGATGACCGGGAGAATCTTGGATCAGTAGTAAATCCTATTTGATTGTTAACGACTACGTGTATGGTTCCTCCAGTTCTGTAATTAGGTAGATCGGAAAGATGAATGGTTTCGTAGCATATCCCTTCCCCGCAGAAGGAAGCATCTCCATGCATAAGAATTGGAATAACCTTCAATATAAAGTTATGTTATTGACTCAGAATTTATTTAATTATAGGATGATTGAATAAAAATACAAATCAATAAAATTGGTGAGAACGTGATTGAGTTTCAGTATTACTGACTTGAATTCCGGTTAATGAGTAGGTTATTTAAACATTATTTTATTATCTAGTTGCATCTCAGTGTACGAGTGAAAGGAAAAAAAAATGGCGCCGGGAGGCACTTATAGCCGCCCATACTAAAATATATTAATAAAAAGTTGGTGGGCAGTTCTTTTCGTTTCAAAGTAAAGGAATTTTTAATTTTTTTTTATCTCAAAAACTGCGACTTTGACTGATTTTGATGTTATTACAGATTTTGATGCAAATATTAAGGTCGATTTATAAACTGAAAACGTTGCGGTTCGACGCCCGACGTTACGGTCGGTAAAAAGTTTGTTTATACGCAGGATGTTTTGTTGATTATAAATTTTTCGGTTGTTGTTGCGGTTGACGTTTTACGTCAAAAATTAACCAATTTTTAACTTCGACAGGAACGTTGACCTTGAAACGTTAGTAATAGCCAATAGAAATAATCGCAACCGCAACGTCGAACCGCACCGTTTTCAATTTATAAATCGACCTTTATTCCTAATCTTAAATTGAAAACCGCGTTTCGCTAGCTACTGTAATTTTGGAGTTACGATTTTTTAAAATTTTTAACCCCCTACCATACCCCCTTACTAACCCCCCACCCCCACCAAAAACTAATGGCCAGATTCTCGGGTGCCACTGTATTTTTGTGCCAAACTTGGTTAAAATCGGTTTAGCGGTTTTTGAGTTATCGTGTTACAGACAGACAGACCGACAGACAGACACCATGAAAATATTTTCTTCTAAAAGAAATTCTGCTTGATCATAAAACTTTTGATCCTACTGTGTATTTCTATACCTACATAAAATATTATATTGTAATCGCAAAACATTTTCCGATGTAGGTCATCAATCATATCGACAATGACACTGACCGAGCAGCCCTTCATTTTACTTTATAGAGCAAATTATTGATGTAGGTCATCAATCATATCGACAATGACACTGACCGAGCAGTTCTTCATTTTACTTTATAGAGCAAATTATTGTAACAGATAGTTTATTTAGATTAAAGCTGCAAAAATTAGTTTAAACCGAATTTTAGTGTCGCTATGTTGATCACATTGCGCCGTTTTCAGCAAGGTTGTCGTTCATTATTTACGCTGCTAAGACTATCAAAATGTTGATCTAATAACAATTTGACGTTTATACTATTAGGTCAAAAGCAACTTTTTTCCAAAGCCTACCATGACTTCACTGAATCATCGTTTCTTGTTCACTATTATTAATATCTTAGTTATTAGATATTAATACATCTGATATTATGATATTCTGGTATAACGTCGATTTTAAAATAAACTAACTGTTTCTATCTTATTTTTAGATTAGAATAGGCATAATCAAGAGGGCTACTGATACCGTGTTGTAAAAATAATGTAATTAAGGGCTTATTTTTGGTATTTATTATAATTTTGCTAATACCTTCGGTTTGAAAGAAGATATCAAGATGTGGTTTTCACTGACTTTTTAAGCTTTTACTACTCTTTACTATCAGCTAAAATAATATACTGTTGCATTAATTTTTTTTGAAAAAACGCGCAATGTTTGTTAAATTGTAAGACAACGCCCCCTAGCGTCTACGTTCAAAAGCTTATTATTATTGTTTATATGGTACAATATAGAGTAAGAAACGCTCTTTTAAACGAGCCCTCACTTATTGGATTCCGATCATCTAGTCCAGAGTTATTAATATTCAAATAAAAACAGATCTAACCTTCCCCCACCACTTTATTTTGGTAGATAGGGGAAAATGGCTCTAACAAAAAATATTCAAAATTTACTGAAGATTATGAAGCTGTTACTTATAGTACAGCGGTCGTTCTACAAACTTGAAAATAATTTCCAGCAATTTCCCATAACCTTTTAGTTATAAATATTTTTTTCCGCAGGCGCTACGGCTAAAACTTTCCGATATACAGTCGAGAGCTATCCTTAGTGGGACACCCTGTACATCAATAAATAAATAAATAACCCATAATAACGCTTAGAATAATCTTCTAGGACTAGTAGTTAATGGACTAGTTTTTGCCAATATGTAATAAGTAAAATAAGCTATCAAACAAATAAATCAATTAATTACTAAAATATTAGTTATTAAATTAAAAATAAAACGCAAAAATCTTTAAAATACAACATAATAAATTATTTATTGTTTGTCACTTTGAAATTAAGATTCGTCTCATAAATCCATCACAATCTGGCTGCGCTGTCGCCATCGCTTGTCACTCAAAGTTGATGATGTGCATCGGAAATTGTTTTGCGATTACCATAGGTACCTTTTTTCGTTCAGTGTCCTTAAGATAAAACTGTTCAGCACGGACTCTTCCTTCACAAACGGGATCTACTGTCTCCAGATGTGATGGATTCGCTAGTAATACTATCTTTATGTCTTTGTTTGTTATCTTGTTTTTCCTGAAATTAATTATTGTGAATAAGTACCTAATTAGTTTTCCACATATAGTGGAGTGCCCGGAGACTGTTACCTCGGAATTCAATTACTGTGAATGTGTTAATGTGAAACCTTCTGTATTTTGTTTTATAGATAAAACTAGCGTGTACCAGCGACTTCGTTCGCGTCGAATTAATCATTTTTGTAATGGTGATGATAAAGTAAAGCAAGAATTTCCATTAACATACAAACTGGATAAAATTTTCTCACATTTATGCCAGCATGAGAAAAAACAATATGGCGATATTATTATATAACTTGGTAATATTTCAGGGGTAGTTTCATCTCGTTAGAATTTGACTTTCGAAAAATCCGTTCGCCAAAAATAAGCTTTTTACGTCAAGCAGTTTAAGCAGAATCGTGGTTAAGAAATTACCCAGCTTTTTGGAACAATGATTTTTTAAAAAATTTCAAAATATGTAAAAAAACCAAATAAATTATGCTTGTCTTCCAGAAAAACTAACCGTTTTTTAAATAACAAATATTGTAATATTTGAGGGGTGTTTTCACCCTCTTGGAATTTGAGATTCGACAAACCCCTCCTTAATGAACCGCTACACCCCACAGTCAATCCGTTTGCCAAAAATCAGCTTTAAACGTAGCAGTTGCAAAATCCTGATTACTCAATGGTCATTTTTTATGAAACCCCTGTATAAATTTATAAAAATCTTAAAATATGTAAAACAACAAAATAAAATATACGTGTTTAAGAGTTTTCCGAAAAACTCACCGGTTTTTAAATAAAAAATATTTTAATATTTGAGGGATAGTTTCACCCCCTTAGAATTCGAGTTTCGAAAAATCCCTTCTTATCGAACGTCTCCACCCTAAAGTCAATCCGTTTTCCAAAAATCAGCCTTTTACGTCAAGCGCTTTAAGCAGGATCGTGATTAATCAATGACCAGATTTTTCGAAACATCCTGTATACATTTTTAAAAAATCTTAAAATATGTAAAAAAAACAAAATAAAATATACGTGTTAAATAAAAAATATTGGAATATTTGAGGGGTGGTTTCACCCTTTTGGAACTGGAATTTCGAAAAATCCCTTCTTATCGAACCTCTACATCCTAGAATCAACCTGTATGCCAAAATTGAGCTTCTTGCGTTGAGTGGTTTGAGCAGGATCGTGATTAATCAGTATGTCAGTCACTTAAAGGTTTTATATTAGTATAGATACTAAAATGTTTACCCATTTTTTTTCGTTGCTTTTAATTTTTTATTTTAGTAATAATAATTAAAATATTTTTTATTTAAAAACCAGTAAGTTTTTCGGAAAAACTTTCAAACACGTATATTTTATTTTGTCGTTTTACATATTTTAAGATTTTTTAAAAATTTATACAGGGTGTCTCATAAAATATGACCACTGAATAATCACGATTCTGCTTAAACTGCTTGACGTTTAAAGCTGATTTTTGGCAAACGGATTGACTGTGGGGTGTAGAGGTTCGATAAGGAAAGGTTTCTCGAATCTCAAATTCCAAGAGGGCGAAAACGCCCCTCAAATATTACAATATGTGTTATTTAAAAAACGGTTAGTCTTTCGGGAAAACGCTTGAACACGCATAATTTATTTTGTTTTTTACATATTTTGATTTTTTAAAAATCATACAGGGTGTAAAAGTTGGGTAATTGATTAACCACGATTCTGCTTAAACTGCTTGACGTAAAAAGCTTATTTTTGGCAAACGGATTGTTCGAAAGTCAAATTCCAACGAGATGAAACTAGGTACTCCTCAAATATTACCAAGTTATATAATAATATCGCCATATTGTTTTTTCTCATGTTTACATAAATGTGAGAAAATTTTATCCAGTTTGTATGTTAATGGAAATTCTTGCTTTGCTTTATCATCACCATTACAAATGATTAATTCGACGCGAACGAAGTCGCGGGTACACGCTAGTTGATAATAGATCCTTAACCTATTGAAAAATATAATATTTACCTTTCAGTATAAACTCCAAGATGATATTTTACATCACCGGAACCTTCGTCTTCCGGTACTAGTCCATGAAATTGTGCAAATAATTTGTCCAGAGGTTTTCTGCAAACGTTAGCCAACACGTTCAGTCTTCCCCGATGAGCCATTCCAAATACAAACATTTCGGCATCTAACTGTGAGAGGGTATCAATAATCATTTTGAGGCACGCTATCGCAACTTCGCAACCCTCAAGACCGAATCTTTTTTCACTAGGCCATTTTTTATGTAGAAATTGTTCAAACCTATATCAAAATATCGTGTCATCATTGAATTCAAAATTCAACCCCAAAATAACTAAGGCCGTGTTTATATTAGGGTGTCCGTTATTTACAAAGTTGATCATTTCTCTCACGACGCGACGCCCTCTAAATTTTTAGTTTATCGCCTAAAAAAATAACAGACCATTAACCCTTAATATTTACAATAAACCTTGCCCCAAAGACGATTCCTTTCCTATTTAAATTACATGAGGTTTGTTCCAACCCGCCGCAGAACCGCCACCGAACGATCACGCTCGTGCGCAGTAATTCAGATGTGTTCCAACCGAGATTTGACGGTTATCGGACGATCCTATTTGCGTACCAACCTACCTTGGGATCGTTTAGTTACGATTTCAGAACGGTAATTTCGGTACATGGTCCAAATTGGGAACTGTTTGGGTTGTGTTGCGCATTAAAGCATATTGGCAGGGATTATCGATTTTTAACAGCCGATTCTGGTCCGGCGTCCGGCTGATGCTTCTGCCTTGGTTATTTTTTACGAATTCGAATACGTGTGCGTTATACTTTTGCTTGTGAGTTTGTGTGGAGTAAATCGTTCGGAAATTTTAATTAAAAATGTTTTATTTATAAAATAATGTTCAAAGATTCTACCACTGCAATGAAATAACAGGAAACTACGCATAACAGGATCATAAAAGAGAGGATAGGTAAGTGAGTTAGTGAGTATACAGTCGAAACAACACTTACCAACAATTACTGGATTCTGATTCTCCATTTCGAGAATAACAATTATTATTATTGCAAATTGCAAACAAAAATAATAGGGTTATGTTATGAAATTCTAAACAAAAACAAAAAACCGATCGATACACCCACGCTTGACACTTTTGACAGTCCCGAAAACAATCCACAAAGCGTTCCAACGTTGACACTTTTTGCACCATCACGAAACTATTCGAAGTCCGCGCATGCTAACAAAGTGCAAGAAAACCGATTGGAGTACGATTTCGAAACGATCCCGAAATGCTGGGTGGAACAAACCAATAAGAATTTGCCACTTTTTGCATATATTTTTTTCTCTCGATCTTGTTCTCTTGCAGCCATGACAATCACATATTGTTATACAGAATTGAACGCTCTACAAAAAATGTCTCTTACAATTTTTCGACAAATTCAAAATGGTAAAAAAATCAAAAAGACCCCGTATCTCAGTTGGCAGTGAAAATATCTACAGGCGGTTTACGCCATTACGTGTCTCAGAAATCGAGCTCATGACATCTATGTCGGTTTTGCTCTATCTAGTCAGGAAATAGGTTTTCTCTGTAAAAAAAGGCCAATTTCGACCACCCTGTACAAGGAATGCCCCAAAGAGATGTTGGAGTGATAGTAGGCGTTACCCAAGATGTTGTATCGAAAACATATGTAAGGTACTTGAAACTAGAAATTCTCCACGAACACCTAACCCTCCCTACCCGAAGACAACGTTGATAATTTAATAAGAAGCATGCTATAGTGCGGATAGAAGAGTGCGTAAGGGCTAGAGGTGGCAACACGGATTATTAAAATTATCAATTTTCTTTTTGTTTTTGCTTTTTGACCATTAAAAATTTAAATCTGATTTTGTTTCAGAAACCAAAAAAATACCATTGTATATATTTTGGGAACTGCTTAATTTCTTTATTTATTTTTGATTAAAAGTCTTTGGTAAGGACTGAGTTCCTAATCAACAAAATGCTCATTTGTCTCAAAAAATATGAAAAATAAATTGATGATTCCATATAAATTTGGTTGTGTGTATAAAAATAGTCTGTGGCCCCTTCTTTATTTTTTTTAATTCAATGCAATAGAGTTACGCACATAGGTTACGCATATAACTCTATTATTTAACTTACATCACTGCTCGTGCAAGTCTCTTTAGTAGCAGCTTTTTTTCGGGCTTTTTCAACATGACTACATTAGGAGTTTCAAAGTTTTCCCTTATCCAATTACATTGTTCTACGTCATTGATGTGCATATATTCAATTCCAATATGGCGACAGTATGCTAATTCTAGACGTTTTATGATTTGGTTCAGAGGCAGCGACCTTTCTTGACCTCCTATTCTCGTTGATTGAGGAAGTTGATAAGATGTATTCAACATGGAATTGTCTGCAATTAAATCAGTTTAATAACTTAATAATAGTAAAATCCTTTAATATGCAATTATTAATTATATTTGAATTTATATTTTTCTTATTATATTCTAACGTTTTATATTACAACACTTAATCGTGGTTAAGAAGATAAAGAGAAGGCAAAATTTTCAAAATTATAAGTAGTTAATATTAAGTAGTAAATTTATAAAAATTAGTATATTTTAATAATTGTATATATAATAGGCAACAGAGCTAATCTATCATTAATTCTAGTAATACAATATTGTTAAGAAAGCTACAACATTTATTTTAGAATTTAAAAGATTAAAGTTTATTCAGAATTTATGGGAAAGTTTAACAGAAAATGACTGTCAACTGTCACCTGTTAAATATTCTGTTATCTGCAAATTCTGCGATCTGTTTCAATTACCTATTTTGTGATATCTTATGACTTCAGGAGGGTTTTTTCCAAATTTTTCCGTGAAACTTGTTGTTTTATCGTTTATGTCAAACATATCATAGAGAGGATTTATGCTTGCCACTAAATGACCACGGACCTAAAAATTGACATTTTAGGAAACCAGTAAATCCAAAATAACTGAGTAATTCAAGTTTCATAAATAAAAAAAAAATGAGAGCCACCGGATTTTTTTCTGTATTTGCATCCTTTTTAGTGCCGCAACCATGGTAATATCAGAGATTAAGAAATTATACCGTGAGAAATTTTGCGGTGAACAGAGAGTTCTAAAAAGTTTACTAAAATATACAGGAAAATTTAAAAGAAAATGCACCATTTTCAATATTGTTTTTTTTGCGAAAAAAAAAGTGTGTTCCTTGGGTCGAAATATACCACACAATATGGCCGACTTAAATTCCGGTTTTTCAGTGCCGTTCTAATTTTATTTAAAAAATGTAAAACTATGATGTAGGGTAGACGTGGGGTAGACTAAATAATTTGTTGTTTTATTTTACGTTGTGAATAAATGTTGGTAGTTATTAAAATTGTTATAAAAATACATAATTCTAATAAAAATAGATACATAGTTAAAATAAAGTTAAAAGTTAAAAAAAAGTTATAATAAGTATTTATTAACACAAACATCCGATACGCTACTGAAGCAGGTAAGTCAAATTAACGTATCAAAATTCTTTGACATCTGATCTTTGACAAGTAGTAAATAAAAGCCAAAATGCAAGAAAATATATAATTTAGTTAATTTAAGTGAATTTAATAAATGATCGGTTTACTACACGTATGTATATTATATAGTCACTTACTAGCGAAAAGTTGTTCCATTATTTCACTCAATTTTTGCCGAGATCTACCGCACGCTACACAACCAACTATTTTAGAGTCTTTTTCGATAAATCGCGATAATGTCACTGTTAATTTAAGTTCTGCCACAATTTCCATCTAGATTTACTACCTTTATACAACTATCAGTATTAGAATAAATAATAAATAACATAAAATAAATCGCAGATAATAATAATAATATCTAATATCTATAATAATCGCAGTAAAGACTGACAAATCCACAAAATTTCAAATCAAATTCAAATGTGTCAAATGAATCGTCAAACAGAACTGTCAAGGATCCCTACCCTAGAGAGATTTTTCCGCCCACCATGCATGAATACATGGAAAGCATTATGCTCCTTCCTTAAGGTTGTCGCCCACTAGACCGCGGCGCGACGCGGCGCGGCGCTATGTGGAAATTTCTATTGTATGCTTCCCATGTATTTAAATGGACCAACGCACATTAGAGCGCACAGCGCAGAAGCGCGCCGCGGGATTTCCGTCAAGAAGTCGGAAGACTTCTCTAGCAACTTTTTTCCGTCTCCCGCGTTTTGGCGCGTTGCAGTGTGCGTACTCACAAGGGAAATAATTTTGCATTCGAGTCTTTTCAGTTGGCTTTTTGACTAGGAACTAGTGATACGTATCAATGGTAGAATTGTATTTTTAAAGGTAAATTAGGCAAATCGATTTTCATAAAGGAATATGATATTTTTTTAAGTCTTCCCTCACTAGAGACAGATGGACGAAATGCCGTTCTATCAAAGATTTAATATAATTGAGGGGTGTAGAGGCAAAACCGGCAATCTCCACTTTTTAACAAAAGTGACAATCTCCAATTTTTAAATTCTAATTACCTAAATATATAAAAAAGATCAGGGTTTTTTTCACCACATAACTAATATACACATCAGAATAAATAAGAATTATCAAAAGTATTAGTAATTTGTCTCTTCTGAAAAAATATGATGAGTAGAGATGCTCGGTGTTTTGCTTCTAAAACCCTCAATTGAGGAGTGCGTAAAATGTTTCCTTTATATTTTGTAATACTGAAAAAAATGATCTTGTCTTTTATTAAATCTGGAAAAAGATGGTAAAATTCTCCAAACTTCTTTCTTTTTGTTAATCGTATGAGTCCAAACTTTTCCTCACCCCCTCTTCCTCTTCCTCTGTTAGAAGAGCACAAAAATACGCTTTCGTCCGTACTTGAACTCATTGCTTTAAAAACTAAACTACAGTAAGTAAAAAACACTTCGACTATAACTAAATAGCGTTGCCGCGTTTCAAAAGCGCGCTATAGTGGGCGCAGTTCCTTCGCAGCCGGAAAAAATTCTCTTCCCAGCGCCGCGCCGCGCAGCGGTCTAGTGGGCGACAACCTTTAGTCTTCTTATTCAAAGGTATTTATAAACTAAATATTGATGTGCATAGTGTAAACATTTTAGAATAATTACTGCAAGTAAATATTTTAGTAACTATTAATTTTAAGGATATGTACCTACTAATAAAACACAATGGATAAAAAACATTTAAGTTGTGTAGCTTGTAAAAAATACACTAGTGATAAAGTGATTATTTCTGAAAGCAGACTAGAAAAATGCAAACAATTTTTAAAAGTATTTTAACAACTGGCCTAAAATTCAAAGAAGTGGTTAGGTTAGGTTAGGTTAGGTAAAAATAATATAGAAAACGCCTATTTTATAAGAGTTTATTTTGTAAGTCGCCCATAATTGCAAACGACAAAGATGACATGGAATATATGGTGCGCAAAATAGATATTAACATTTCCATTAAAATTGACAAAAACGTAATATTTACAGCTTTGCTTAGCTTGATCTAATCTTCAAGTTTAGTGATCTTTTCTGATAATGTTGTGTTACACTACGCTATTTCTCTTTTCTTCTGCCAATATTTTTTTATTTGCAAAACTACTTTTATAAATATATTTTTTGCTTTTGAGTCATTATTCACATTAATTCTATCACTGATTTCTATATGTAACTATAAACTTGTGAATCGTAACCAATTACATTGTGAAAAATATAATTAGACTAACCCAGCCTAACACACTAATATAAAACTTTATATCTATACAGGTCATCCAAATATTGTGGTGGACTGCAAACAGGAACTGGACCACAGGATTAAATAATAATAAAAGGAAGGAAATTTTTCATAAAGTTTAATAGGAAGTGTTTGAAAGTTAAATAGTTCTTTTTTATAATTTTTTTTCTGTGGTGTTTTGTTTAACACAAACCTTTGTTTGTTTTGTATTAACACACAGCCTAAATATTTTTTTAAATAAAATGACGCGATTAGATTTTTCCAGTTGTATACAATTTTTTTGTACTATTTTGTTACTAAAATTTTAACCACTGTACCAATCACCAATTGTACCAACTTATTTCTTTGTAAAATGAAATGAACTGCATTGAAACTAAAATGACAGGCAGATCTATCACTCTCAAGAACTTTGTCTTTGGACAGCTATAGAATATTCGTACAACCTGTATATTCAAGAGAGAGAGTTTATGAAAAGCATAAAAAAATTGCAATGTAATTCGATTAATGATTTAATATACGAAAGTGATTTAATATACGAAAGGATATTGTTTAATGAATTTTGTGCTAATTAATGAAACCTGTCTTTTTTTTTATGGTGATCAGAAATGCAATTTCACTGATTATGTAAGTGAGTTTGCACATTATACATTAAAAAATAATCATCGATTATTAACACAAATTAGCTTTTATTTAGCTTCTTTTCCTACCCTTGATATTTGATTACGAAATACCGTAACTAAATTTTGTTTAAGTATCAACACATTTAATACCTGGTAGCTTCTAATGATAGATTGGACAGTTAAATGTTCTTCTATAGTATTAGTACTAACATCCACACCTGGTATGGGCATTATGTTATGGACAGACACTAACTGTCTTTCCTTGCTTTGAACGGTTGGGACCATCTGTCTTTGATACGTTCCATCTTGAAAAAACGCATTCCATGACTGTAAAAGAAATAGACTTAACAAATAACTAAATAGGTATATATATTTTGGGGTATTTACCGCATGAACGCTGCTGGGGTCTTTCAACCAGGCATTGTATATATCTTCTAGGTATTGGCAAGAATTGCCGTTTAAAAATGACTGTAAATAAAAGTTATGTCAATTTGTGTCATATTTTCGAAAATTTGATAAAATTGGATGAAAAATGTTCAGCACTGTTTTAATTTTGGTGGATCTTTGCATTGCCATTTTCTGTAGTAGTGTTGTAATATTTCTTTATACAGTATTTTAATTTATAAAAGCTTGTCATTGATTGAGAGGTCTCAAAAATCTTTATGTCATCAGATGTCATATTCAAAAGTCAAGTAGATACAATCCGAATGTCATGGTGAGTATTGAAAGTTAAAATAAAGCCTTGAGTCTGGCTTAGAAATCGGATCATGCGTCAATAATTTAGCAACATTGCTAATGATGCCAACATGATTAGCGAAGCGCGCGTCTATTTTAAAAGTAGTTTTGATGTATTGTGGTGAATTAGTATTTTATTTTGCTGTTGTAACACTAATGCCCACTTGCACCGTTTGTATAAACTTTGTTTAAAGGCTAAACAGTGATTAACTATACATATTTTATTATAGTTAATCACTGTTTAGCCTTTAAACAAAGTTTATACAAACGGTGCAAGTGGGCATAAATGTTTCAACCTCAAACTGATGGATTCCGGTATACAGGGTCCGGCAATAGTGCGTCGGACATCTGTAGCTCGGAAATTTTGTTTAAGTGTAAACCTAAAGTATGTATAGTAAACGCCACGAATGTTTGGGAGTGATTCATCGGTCGCTACCATGTGAACTAATCTGTTCAAGATCACATAAAACTTAATTCCAGTGCCGTGGTGTTTCAAGTCATATAGTAATCAATATATAATCTGTTGTAATTTGTTGTTTTAACCGTCAAAGTCTTGTCAAAACATATATTTGGTTATAAATATAAAATGGAATGCCCCATTGGTCGCGCTGCAAGCACACCAATGGACTGACGCACAAAAACGAATCAATCAAAGAAACGCGATATAGTATCGTCTTTGTCAATCACGCTAACATTTTAGAATAAGTAGGAGGAGCGCAGGAGATGATTGGACCGGGCATTTAATAACCTACGTCTGCGGTATAAATTTACGTTTTTAATGTAAAAATGATAGCGCGCGTGTGTCTATTCTAACTTCATCAAGCGATGAATCACTCCCAAACATTCGTGGCGTTTACAATACGAGGATGTGTTTCAGGAAAATATTTTAACTTCTATAGGGTGGCTCAAAAAAGTGTGAGTAGATCGGGATTATTTCTTTTAAATGGAACACCCTGTATATTATTGTATTTTTAGCTTCTTTTCAGGTCACTTTACATAATTGTAAGATATGAGTAAATATTTTTCGAGAGTTTCAGAGATATTAATAAATAAATAAAAAATCTATATTTTTTAGCCTTTCTTAAAAAAAATATTACAAATACTAGATCTGTCCTGAAACCAAAACTATATTAGGTATTTCCTTTAGATGGTCTAAACTTACTTTGCTGTAAATATCGCAATCTTAAATCATACAGAATGTTCAAAATTCTACGCCAAACTGTCTAAAATATATAATAATTTTTCTTTGTTTTTTTTTAAATGGAACGCCCTGTATATTATTTTTTAGTAGATGGAGAATTATAAAATGAACATTTTTTGTATTTAAAGTATTTCAAAATTTGTAATGGTTTCGCAGATACACACAGTATTATTTCATATGGCTCTCAATGGCTCTCAATGGTAAAATACGAGAGAAAAATTATTGGGTGGCTTTGATAAAAATTTACTGTAGAAAATGTCATATGAAATATAAAATTGCAAATATCTGCGAAACCATTAAAAATTTTGAAATACTCTAAATACAAAAAATGTACATTTCTTAATTCTCTATTTATTAAAGAAATGATATACAGGGTATTCCATTTTAAATAACAAAAAAAAATTATATTTTAGAAAGTTTGGCGTAGAATTTTGAAAGTCCTGTATGATTTACGATTACCATATTTATAGCAAAGTAAGTACAGACCATCTAAACTAAATACCTAATGTAGTTTTGATTTCAGGGCAGTTCTTGTATTTTTGATATTGTTTTTTAAGAAAGCCTGAAAAACATACATTTTTTATTTAATTATTAATATCTCTGAAACTATCGAAATATATTTACTCATATCCTAGGATTATGTAAAAGTGTCTGAGAGATAGAAGAAGTTAAGAAGAAGAGATATGGAAGTTAAAATATTTTCCTGAAATACATCCTAGTACATACTTTAGGTTTGCATTTAAACAAAATTCCAAAGTTTTTTATTTTAGGAACTACAGATGCCCGACGCACTATTGCCGGACCCTGTTTATCGATCAACCCTACTTGTTCTAATGTAGTTAATCTCGTTTATACTTTCCAAATTTCCATGATGTTTTAGAATTTAAATTAAAAAAATTAAAAAAAAAACATGAAAATATTTTTTTTTCCAAGTCTTAAAAATCAAAACGCGTTTTTATGGTAATATAATTTCGTTTTCATTCTTTGATAAATTGTTATTTATGGAATTTTAATTGACGCAACTTTTTTTTGTTGTTTTGAAATGTTAAAGAACAAAATTTATTTAGTTCTATGCTATGGAAAGGGCAATGATGGTTAACGGACCTAACCTAACCTAAACAATTAAATAATTAAACTAAATTAAGATTGAGAAGGTACTTACAGACAAACAAAAGTAATTTATTTTAATTAAATAATTTATTAAATCATTTTTATTAAAATTTACAAAAACGTAATATTTACAGCTTAGCTTAGTTTGATCTAATCTTCAAGTTTAGTGATCTTTTCTGATAATGTTTTGTTACACTACTCTATTTCTCTTTTCTTCTGCAAATATTTTTTCATTTGCAAAACTACTTTTATAAATATATTTTTTTGTATTAATTAATACATTATTCATATTAATTCTACCACTGATTTCTAAATGTAACTATAAACTTGTGAATCGTAGCCAATTACATTGTGAAAAATATAATTAGACTAACTAGTCTGACACATTAATAACTTTATATCTATACAGAGCATCCCAATATTGTGGTGGACTGCAAACAGGAGTTGGACCACAGGGTTGAATAATAATAAAAGGAGGGAAATTTTTCATAAAGTTTGATAGTAAGTGCTTGAAAGTTAAATAGTTTTTTTTATAGATTTTTTTATGTGGTGTTTTGTTTAACACAAACCTGTGTTTATTTTGTATTAACACACAGCCTAAATATTTTTTTAAATAAAATGACGCGATTATATTTTTCTCGTTGTATACAATTTTATAGTACTATTTTGTTACTAAAATTTTAACCACTGTACCAATTACCAATTGTACCAACTTATTTCTTTGTAAAATGAAATAAACTGCATTAAAACTAAAATGACAGGCAGATGATCTATCACTTTCAAGAATTTTGTCCTTGGACAGTCTGTAGCTATGGAATATTCGTACAACCTGTATATTCAAGAGAGAGAGCATGAAATGCATAAAAAAATTTGCAATGTAATTCGATCAACGAAATCGATAGAGAGCATATTATTTAATAAACGAAAGAATATTGTCTATACATTAAAAAATAATCATCGATTATTAATACAAATTAGCTTTTATTTAGCTTCTTTTCTTAGCCTTGATATTTGACTACGAAATACAGTAACTAAGTTTTGTTTAAGTATCAACACATTTAATACCTGGAAGCTTCTAATGATAGCTTGGACAGTTAAATGTTCTTCTATAGTATTAGTACTAACAGCAGTACCTGGAGTGGACACTATGTTATGGACAGACACTGACTGTTTTTCTTTACTTTGAACTACGGTTGTAGCCATCTGTCTATAATATGTTCCATCTTGAAAATACGCATTCCATGACTGTAGAAGAAATAGATTTAACAAATAACTAAATAGATATATATTTTTGGATATTTACCGCATGAACGCTGTTGGGGTCTTTCAACCAGGCATTGTATATATCTTCTAGATATTGGGAAGAATTACCGTTTAAAAATGACTGTAAATAAATATTATGTGAATTTGTGTTATATTTTCGAAAATTTGATAAAATTGGATGAAAAATGTTGAGCACTTTTTTAATTTTGGTGGATCTTTGCATTGCCATTTTCTGCGTGTTGTAATATTTGTTTATAGCGTATTTTAATTTATAAGAGCTTGTCAGTGATTGACAGGTCTCTAAAATGTCTATGTCATCAGATGTCATATTCGAAAGTCATGTAGATACAATGTCGTGTTAGAGTGTATGGTGAGTACTGAAAGTTGAAATAGGGCCTTGACTGGAAACGTAGTTAATGAAAGTTTTCAAAATTTTACACACATAATATGTATACAGGGTGAGTCTTAAAGAAATGCAAATATTTTCAAGGCTGGTGGATCTCGATAAAGACAAGGAAATAATATAGATAATAGGAAAATTGGAGGAAAAAAACATGAAAATATAATTGATTTTTTCCCAACATAGATAAAAGAAAAAAAATTAGTTTGGAAAGTGCCCATAAGGACAATGTAAATACTATTTGGCGCTATTCTTACAACGGTCGCTGTCCAAAGCTTTTGAAAATTTCGGAGTGGTTTGGCTTTTTCCGTAATTATGTCGCCAAATATTATTTATTCAAATTTATTATTTTTTCCTTTTAAATAAAATACAGTGTGTTGCATATAAGAAACTTTATTTTATATAAGGACATGTATGAAATACCTATGAAACATTGGAAACCGACGTTATGCCACGATCCACGATGGTTTTTGCAGTTCACAGTCCACACAGCTTTTTAAGTTTTTATGCCACTTTTGCATCACAATTATCACGGGTTTGTGTAAACAAAATTTAAATTAAACTCACAAGATAGCAATAATTACTTTGAAAATGGACGCTTTAAACACTTTTCGGTATTTTTTCAATGACGGCGTTTTAAAATTTGGAAGATATTATAATTTTTGAAGATTCTGACTATGACAAGAAAAAATTATTTCTGTTCTTGTTTGCGGTTGTTCTGAAAACGCTCCAAAACAATTATAAGTTTTGGCGGCAAGCCAAGCATTCCAATCTAAACTTGTTTCCTTTATCTATGTTTTCCAAGTCCTAAAAATCAAAACGCGTTTCTATGGTAATATAACTTCGTTTTCATTCTTTAGTAGATCGTTATTCATAGAATTTTAATTAACGTAATATTTTTTGTTGTTTTAAAATGCTAAAGAAGCACAACATTTATTTAGTTCAATGCTACGGAAAGGGCGATGATGGTTATCGGAAAATGAAACTTTAACAACACTGAACAACACCAAAGAATATGACCATAGACCATAGATAAGATACTATAATATGACATTAATCAAAATTAATAATAACCATTTATCAAAGAATGAAACCATGCCCTAGACACTCAATGGTAATTTTATAGAACTACAAATTTAGTTTCTTCCGCATCGCCAGACGGCGCAAAAGACATTAAAGTACAGGTTTCTAATTTATATTATGAAGATGACATAACAGTCTCTATGTTAACTACTGTCTATGGTCTAGTTTTTGTCTAGTTGACAAAATGTTGGTGATCCGTCAAGTTATTTTTAAATCATTATTTAAATAATTATTAATTCAGATATTCCCAGATATTCCTGATTTGTCGGAAAGTTCAGTGATTTGTGTTTATAGTTTGTGTTTTTATTAGTTTGTGCATTCTGATACTTACAGTCGGTCATCATTTTCGTGTTAGATACTAAACTTTTTTATTAGTCATTTTGACATTTTAGAAATAATAATTTATAAACCAAATAAAAAAATAGTTTAATTATAAATAAGTAAGTACATAGTTGGTAATATATAGTATTTTTAGTAACAGTTAATTAGTAGTCTATAATATTTTTACTATATTATAATTTAGTTGTTAAATCAAAAAAAAAATAGGCGCTATATGATCTATTGTTGGTGTTTAAAATGTATGTATTTATAATTTTAATTATGTTGTAATTATGTTACACTTCTAATGATCTAATAAAACATAAAATGGCAGTAAAAAAGTCTATATTCATTATTTTATATTTTACAAGGAATAATTTTGCGCTTGAATAACGTTACCGTTTTAATTAGCGTTAATAAGTAACAGAACGCTAAAATTATGTTATGCCAAAACTCTCCATTAGTTTCTTCCGGATCACCAGGTGGCTCTAAATGACGGACCCATTTGTTTTATATCAGTGTCCAATCTATCTCTAGTACGTGACATTAGTCTATGAATGAAACTGAATTGATATCACCATAGCAACGCCTTTTGATACTTTTAGGACTTAAACATTTTTCCTCCTGTAAAGACAATCAGGAGACATACTGTAGATTCTTGGGGTACACCCACGATACATGAACTCTCTCAGAAGCAATAGATCTACCGTAGTGGTTTTTCTCAACTACCTGTGTACAGTTGTACTGTGCAAGTAGGATCTATTTAATTTAGGTGCGTTTATTCTGATTCTGTAATTATCATTACAAACCAAAAGAGGAATTGTAACCTCAGTTCTATTTCATTCTTGTAGGATCTACCAGCATGGAGGGGTGCTTTTCCTTCCAATTTGTTAACGTACCATGGTAACCGTTGATGGTAATCATGAGGTCGAAGCATGAGCTTATGGGGACGACTTTGTGATTTTAGTTTAGTAAAAGGGCACAATGAGGATGATATTTCCTAAAAGGCACAAGAATTTCAAAATCCTATCCACGGTTGGTGCATACTAGAATAATTGAGTGTAAACTCAGATAAACTTGCAAGACAGGGTTAATTCTGAATAAGAAACTTGCAAGCCAATGGGCATGTCATAGGATTTGTATCAGAAACTGGGGGTAAACGCTAAAATATATACTGGAAATACGTTCACGGTGCTGATGCGCAACCTTATGGGCGATTTCCTGGCACAAAACCTGTCCCAGATGTAGCTGGCGATACCGTCCCCGCTAGTCAACGTGTCCGAGATTTAGTTTAGCTCTGCGCCGCTGCGCGTTGATAGTCGTTTACTGCGCAGCGGACAAACAATACTGTACCGTAGTTCTGCTTTCAGTCGACAGAGTGGGTGGTTGCCGGAGACAGTGTTGCCAGACCTATGGATTAATCCGGATTAATACGGATTTGTATCATTAAACAATTTAATATAATATTATATGATTAAACAAAGAACGGCGTCAGAGTTCGCTTGGAAATGAAGATCGCTTTTATTTCATATATAAAATATTACGGTAAATGTCAATAGTCGTCATTTGTAAGCCAACTAAACGACTTTTTTCTATCATACAAAATATTCAGTACCTTTTTAGAATTTTAATTTGTCATTTTTGTTGTTTATTCTATGTTTAACACGAATCATTTTTCAATACATAAACGCGGATTTTTTATCTAAAGATATTTTCGTCAAACGTATTACAGCTATTACACATTTTAATATGGCAACAGTGTCGTTTTCAGTTCCACACCGTTTTCAATATACCTTCGCTAGCCAAATTAAAGAAAATTAGTGTTTTATGCGTTAGCTGCAGCACAAGTAGAGGCTCCACCGTACGGCACTTGAGACGTAAGGGGAAATCAAATCAGCCTTGTCACGAATTTGCCTATTTAAGTTGCGTATCTTCCATATTCTTTATATCACCAATAACTGTAAAACCATACTCATATGATTAACTTTAAATTGTTTATTATATGTGCTTATTATATGATAATTATAATACTATTTAATATGTATTCCTATTTTACGGTAGATATAATATAAAATGCCTTACTTATTTTGCTTGAAGCAAATTAATGGTTTACTATTCTTAAATAAAACCACAAAAATTCATTAAATATCTTTATTTAAATCAAATAAAATTGTTATAATATAATATATCCCATAATACTAACAAAAATGTAGGTAAAAAGCAAATGTAAAACGACAAAATAAATCTAATCAAACAATAAAGGAGGGAGTTTTTACATATTATTAAGTACATTCAATAAGGAGATTCTTTAAGAATTAATGTTGGTAAATTATCTAATAAAAGGACAGGTTTTCTTATTCTAAATAAACTTACATGTAGAACAGCACCTTTACAATGCTGAAAAGGATAGTGATTTCCCAAATAATAACAAAAAAAAAATATATCAAAATGGGAAACAGTTTAAACATTCAAGAATGTTGTTAACGTTCACAGATCAATAGAAATCTATAAACGTTGCTGGTAACTATTCTAAATTACATTAAAAATTAATGCTAAATAAAGTAACCGTTGTTCATTCAATTAGTTAAAATTGAGAAGCGAATATAACTGGCATTTGAATGGCTTAAACATAATTTTAATCTTGTCGAGCGCAAAGCTCGATACCATTTTTTCCGAAATAATATCAAATTACGTGATTGTTCTGTCCTGCATAGATAAGCGATATAATTCTTTAGATCTAGTAAATGGCATTTTCGTATGAAATTCTCAATAGAAAACTATAAAAAACACAGGTACATTTTTTTATTTATATCTCTTAGGATCAAAGAATAAAATATTGATAATATTGCATGTATTCCCGTATGCTCTAATTAACAATTCGCATTTTTTATAGTTTATAGCAGTTTAAGCAGTTCTACAAGCTGACTTGGAGATTGCTTATTAGTATAATATACGGGATGTGCAACAAACTAAAAGGAGATCGATTGATAAAATACATATACAGGAAAATCTATAAAACAATAGATTCAGCTATATGCATATCATTTTTGATTCATATACAGGGTCCGGCAATAGTGCGTCGGGCATCTGTAGCTCCTATAATAAAAAAAACTTACGAATATTGTGTGCAAAGTGCATACATAAAGTTTTTTTTTCATTATTTTTTCAGGAAAATATTGTAACTTTTGTGGTTAGTGGATTGGGATGACTTTTTTTAATTAATAATACACCCTGTATATTATTGCATTTTTGACTTCCTTTCTGATAACTTTACAAATCCTAAGATATTATTAAATCTGTTTTGATAGGTTCAGAAATAATACATTAAAAAATAAATTAAATATTTTTTCAGCTTTTTAAAAAAAATATTCAAAATACAAGAAATATCCTGAAATCAAAACTATACTAGGTATTTATTAGAGATGGTCCGTACTTACTTTGCTATAAATATCGTAATCTTTGAACAGTATCAAAACATATTTAATAA